GACCTTGGCCAAGTCCTGGATATCCTTCCTGCGCGCCCACACGACCACCAGCAGGTAGGCCAGGAAGATGGCGCCCACAAAGCACACCACCACAGGGTTGTCGACAAAGGTGGAGAAGAGCTGAGCTGTCTGCGAAACATCCACCACATTGGGCATGACAAAAAAGGAGCTTCCGAAGAAGGTCAGGTGGTTACAGAAGCACTGGGTGGCCGATGGGGTGGTGAGAGGACCGACCTGAAGAAAGAAAGATTACATGAAGAATTTACTCTTTCACATTGTCCTTGGCGACCCCCAGGAAGTCTACATTATTGCTCCCTCCCAGCTCCCTGCCAGACAGTCTACATTTTTGCTGACTGGGAGCTGAAAGGGAACAAAAACAGACACTGTCTGGGGGTCCCCAAGGGCCAGGTTGGGAGACACTGCTCTGGAGTATAACGTGGTTATACTTTTTGTTAGTACGATATCAATTTTGAACACAAACAAGAATCAAAATACATGATCGGTGTGTTTTATCTTCCAGTACATACCCTACAGCCTTGGGTGCTCCAGTCGGAAGTAACCTCATCCCAATACATACACTGGGAAGCTATGGTGGTGACGGACACCGTGGCATTTGTGGAATTGACCCCTGCCGCCACCACAGGTCTCACCAGCAGATAGTACGTCCCAGGATTTCCAGTCAGGTTCCCAGGACCCAACACCCATGTGTACTGCTCCTCTGCACCAAAGACAGCAGCATGTTATTTATTCATTCACACGCAAGTCTTCCTGAATTCTGAGCGTGTGATGTTGTGTTTAATCTGTCAGAGAGGAGGTGGAGGGGGGGCGTTACCTAGAGTAGCACCCTGCTGAGGTAGGTTAGTCATGGCAATGTGATGTGACTGGTTGGGATAACTCTGAAAGCCCAGCAACAGCTGCAAGGTCAAGTTTTCTGAGGGGTCCAGCTTCAGCACCAGTGAGATGTTGGGCACAGTCACGTTGATGGCCACTGTACTGAAGTTGCCCAGGTCCAGAAATGTTTCACTCACTTGTGATTCTTTTGGCCGTGGCAGAAAGATCTGGGGACCAGGAAGAAGATGGCAAACTGAGGAAGGGAAATCTGGGAACGAACGAGTCTGTGAATCAATCGGTGAAAGCTTCATGGATGTTGATCAAAGATAGGTATACGAAACAGAATACATCTTAGTGAAATAGATTATTTGAAGCAAGTTCTAAACCTATTTGTAATTCAAATGCACGTAGACTATGTATTTTCATTTATGGGCTAGAATTATGTTGCTCTGACCTCAATCTCACTGCTGAGGTTCTTCACTGGGATGACAGAGCCATCGTGGTTTGTCAGGGTAAGGCCACCAACGATCCCACTGATTAAGTCCCCTGTGCCCTTGGGGAAAGGGCTTATGCCCAAACTCATCATCTGAGGATCAGGAAATAGGAGTGAGGGACAGAGATGAGGGCAATCCATATACCACTAAGATCTAAGTTGCGTTTCTTTGGAAGCTGATTCAAAGTGGTGAATAAAGTGGCACATGTCCACTACCCACCCGTACATCCACTGGCTTTTCGACTGGCAAGATATCAGGTCCTATTGGAGGAAGACTGAACCAGGAAGTGGAATTTCTCTGAATGCCGATAGGCTTTTGTTGAAGCTGATCGGGTGACAGTCTTTCGTACAGCAACAAAAAGCACAGAATTAGGATACCCATGAATTTTTACTGAAGTGAAGTATTTCAGAAGGAGCCCCTCCTGAGGCAGTCGATGCGCTAATCCCACCTGTTTACGTAAATACTGATATCAGGGGATGACAGTATGACAGGGTCCTGATTGGTCCCCATTTCTGCCAGAAGGGCGGTCTGCACATTGCCCATGGTGTTCAGCAGACAACTAGAAATCTCGCCCTGAAAAGGTGATAAAGCAAAGTTCAGTGTTATATATTATTCTGCTCCTAATGCTGATTCAGGCATTGTATGGCTGCCAGAAATACAGCCACAGCACTATGCACAACATTCCAGCATAGACTGCAGGGACACTAGTGCCTAGAAACCTGCAGGCACCTGACTGGCCACTAGAGGGCACTTGCACCACAACCAACAAGAACGACCAGGGGTTGGTAACGTGTGGCTCTTTGACTGCTCCCTTGCAACTCTAAGAAAGAATTAAGAAATAGATGAACCTCAAAATAACTGACCTGAAAATTATTTTTAATATGAGGTAGAAAAAAGTAAATCTTAAAGCCATCCTAAGTGACTAACATAGACTAAATTATAACTGATAAAAAAATCAGAACATTAACTTTTCACGGATACACGGATGCAGGAATCACATTAAACAAGTAAAATATGTGCTTTAAATCGATGGTAATTGGTAATAAAACCTTAATTAAAAACATATTTATCATGATATAAATAACAACAGATATTTTATGTGTATTGTGGCTCATGTGGTGGTTTGATTTTGTTAAAATGCGGAAAACTGGCTCTTCGTGTTATTTGGGTTGCTGACCCGTGCCCCAGCCAAATGCCAAACCGTTCTTTACACAGTGGAACTATGACAGTTTCTGGCCTCAATCAACAAATGACTAGCAGTGATCTGAGTTCTAGGCCTCTAGGCCTGACAAAGGGACTGCCCTGTGGTCACATGACCTTACTAAGGAAAACGCACCTGCTGGCCTGACTCTGCCCAGGCCTCGAGGATGTTACTGGCTGCTTTCACGATGAAACCAGCTGCAAGTTGCACCTGGGCAGTTCCCTCGCTTCCCGTGCTGTTTATGGTGAGCAGGGCTTGGCTGAGGTTTGCCAGCACAAAACTTGCTTGCATCTGTAAAACAGTCAGCATAAAGTCTACACAGGACTACAGCAGTGGCCAAAATTGTGGAAACGCCTATCTTTTTTTGACATTTTGGTGGCTTAATGGTTAGGGAAGCGCACTTGTAATTGAAAGATTGCTAGTTTAAATCCACAACCAGCAGGGCACCACTGAGGTACCCTGAGCAAGTTACCGACCCCAAGCACTGCTCCCCAGGTGCTGAATTAGCTGCCCCCTGCTATGTCACATTGTCACATATGGGTTAAATGCAGAGGACCCATTTCGCTGTTGTGCACTGTGTGCCGTGGTGTGTCAACAATGACCACTGACCACTACATGAATATCAGCGGTAATGTTTAGAAATGATCAAAGAATGTTTTCAAATATCACGCCTACAGCTTTAAAGTACGATTAAATAAGTAACTGGAGAAACTGGAATAAAGTTCTATCTCTAAAAACTGGAAGTGACTCCACAGTTTTGCCCACTTATGTACATATCAATCCACTTGTCATAGAATTAGTTTGGCATATATAACATAAAGTACCTCATCTCCAAATTCTTCCAAGTCTCTGGTTTGCTAATAGTTTCTTTGCAGGCATACATAAAATGAGGGGCTTCATATTAGAAGTGAGAGGTATTGTAATGATTATAATGTCTTGCTTGCATGGCATTTCTGGAAATAGCAAGTGAGAGCACAGGGGTGCAGTCCAATACCCCCTCCCCAAGTACCTGTGCAGATGAGGTCAGCTCATTTGTCTTCTGGGTGATTTGCATCACTGCCTCAGCGGTCAGCTGCACATCACTGGGGGCATTACAGGGGTGTTCCTGCAGGGCTGCCGAGAGGTCGCCCAACATCTGCTCCCGAAGCTTCAGATTTTGTTTTTGCACAAATGCATATCAGGGATTATAGATGACATGGCAGACATTTTTACACAGTATAGCCACATAGAAAATATGTAGCACTTTTGATCATATGATTAAAAAATAAGCAAAATTTGTTGTCCGTTCCTCTTTGTACTAACCTAAGGACCCATTTCCATAGCTACAGCTGTACTATGGTTAATAAAAAAACACTACAAACCACATTACTACGGCAACAGAGCAATCTCCAAAAACAGATGGTACAAGTTAAGGTTGTTGAACCGTACAGGTCAACCATCTTCACTGTTTGAAGATCCAGTCACCGAGTGCCTTTCATGAAATTTTTGTTAGCTAGTTTGACCAATGCATTACTGAGTGACCAGCCTGCTGGACAAATGAATGACCTGGAAACTAGAGGGCCACATGTTTGTTTGACAAGAGCAGCAGATACATGGAACACACACCTTCAAAGGAACACTAAGACACTAAGTGCGTGCTTGCATAGCCCTGCCTTCTCAGTATACCTTATAAAATCATACAGCAAATTATTAGTCTGTTACGCTCTTTTATTTCCCAAAGCCATCCACACCTCCGCATTTTCCCGATTGGCACCGGCTGCTCCGTTCAGGGTGGCAGAGACAGAATGGAAAAGCTGCACCAGTGCCACCTGAGACAAGTGCTGCTGATTTTTCAGAAGGTCCTTCAGGTCAGTGTTGGTGGCATTCGCACTCTTCACCTGAGAGTCAGGAGGAGCGGAAACGTCTCACAGAAACTCAGTACAGATTTCATTGTACAAGAGAGTGAATACCAAACAGAAACGCATGTTTAAATTTGGAAAAATTGTTATATTAATAATCAATAATAACACCATTTTTTACAATGTCCATTGTGTACCTGTGTTGCCAGTGACGTGCTGAGGGTCTGGCCCTCACTGTTCTTTAAAAATGCTGTCAGAGTGATATTGTCCCCTGAAGGGAGGAACAGCGATTGCATCTCCAATTCATGTCCACAACTCAGGCTCTGGCCTGAAAGAGGAAACAACATTTTGAAATTTTATTCTAATTTTAAAATTTTTTTCTCAGATTTTTTTTTTTTTAACTGCACAACAACTGAAGCCATTTGTTAGATCAGCGAATGGAAATCTGGCGGCAGCTGCAAAATTCAGTTTCTATCGCTAACAATAGAACGGTTGCGGCGGAGTTTCCTTCTGGCGCCAAGCAATTTAGGGCGATTTAGGGCCTTTGCGGTGGAAGTGGGATGCCACTGAGTTGGGGTCCTTACCTTTGACAGTCTTAAAGCACAACGTGCAGGACCCAGGTGTACAGAAGACTGGGGGCACATTACAAGTGCCAGTGAAGGGTGTGAGCACCGTGCCCTGGGGAGGTGCCAGTGTACAGCTCAGGCTGGCAGCGGCAGGCACAGAGCTGGGTTTCCCTGGTATGTGTGCGGGGGTGGCAGCTGGGGGGTGATGACTGCCATTGACATAAGGAGGGGAGGAGGTGGGGAATTTCGGCTTCTTGGTGTCAGAATAACCCTTGGAGCCTTTATAGTCTTTTGATGGGGTTGGATTTGTGGTCGAGGACGATCTGTGTCTCATCGGGGGTTGAGTGGTCCTAGGATGGTGTAGGCTGTAGCTGGCAACTCCAGACTTTCCGTCATTAGAGAAGCCTGAAAAAGTGATAAAAATGGAGTTTCTGTAATATCATTTCAGAAGGCAGACATTTTAACTGCGCAATACTCATTCTTCAGAACGTCATACGGTATGGCAATAAGGTTCAGGAATCAGAGTCTCACCTACGACCACGACTCTGTTTATGGTAGCCAGGATTTTTTCGCCATTTATCACAATCGATGAATTTCCCTTCGCAATAAGAGTTAATGGCATCTGATTAGAGCGGCAGCCGGCCCAATCAGCCTGAAAAGATAAAAAATGGATTTGATGTAAAGTTTGTGATATGCTAGGCCTGTAAAATCCAAAGCATGGGTAAAAAAGAGGCAATTACACTGACTGTCCCGTCCGTGGATACTCACAAACAAAAATGATCTTCTGAAAAGCACGTCTTACTAAGTTTAAACCAGAGGCTTCTTAAATATGACGCACTGTCTCAATCCGACTGAGAGATATAAAATTATATACCACAATGATGGTGACATTGCCAAGCAAAAGACTTACATGCTTGTTAGCAGTGATCTCATAATACCACGTAAAGTTAACACACTGGTGACAAAGCACCTCCAGTTGAATACTCTGCATAGAATCTGTGTGGTCACAACCTTCTTTACACCTAGCAAAACACAAAAATACAGATATGTGTTTCCATTAATCCTTATTTCACAAGATGCAAATGACTATACCTGTATTCTGTGTCCACTTGACAACAATTGTACCTTAAATTTCTTTGCAGAAACATGAAATATACACTTTATGGACAAAAGTATTGGGACAACTGGTCATTACACCTACAGGAACTTTTATGACATCCCATTCTAAATCCATAGGCATTAATATGGAGTTGGTCCCCCCTTTGCAGGTATAAAAGCTGCCACACTTCTGGGAAGGTTTTCCACATGATTTTGGAGTGTGTCTGTGGGTATTTTTGCCCATTCATCCAGAGGAGCATTTGCGAGGTAAGGCACTGATGTTGGACATGAAGGCCTGGCTCACAATCTCATCCCAAAGGTGTTCGATGGGGTTGAGGTCAGGGCTCTGTGTTTCTCAAGTTCTTCCACACCAAACTCACCCAACCATGTGTTTACGGGGCAGAGTCATGCTGGAACAGAAAAGGCCCCTCCCCAAACTGTTCCCACAAAGCTGGAAACATAAAATTGTCCAAAATGTCTTGTTCTGCATGCTCTTCTAGACGAATAGGCAAACATCCCACAGACCCACTCAAAATGACCAACTCCATACTGATCCCTATGGATTTACAATGGGATGTAAAAAGTTCCTGTGGCTTTAAAACTTGTATGTCATGTGTATATTATTTGCACGCCATACTTACATGATATTCAGTGAAATATTATTCATTGGGACGACCATAACACATATACTGCTTGTAAGACTTTTGCCCTTAGTTTTTTTCACCGTCAAAATGAACATTGTGAAGTTGTACATTTCAGGAAGACAAGAGTTTTCAATTTTCATCTGCTGAGAAGTACTGGTGGTTTCACAGCGACAATCCCCACCTATACAGTACAATAGAAATAGGCAAAAAATATGTGTAGTTCCGATTTTACCATCTCAATGTTGCAGCAGAAATTGAGACTAATCTGACAAGGCAACGTTTATCCAGTCTTCCACTCTACACTTTTGATGAGCTCATGCCCACAGTAGCTGCAGGACTTCTGCTGCTGTAGCCCATCTGCTTCAAGTTTAATGTGTTGCGCATTTATAGATGCTTTTCTGTGTACCTTTGTTGTAACGAGTGGTTATTTGAGTTACTTTCTATCAGCTATCTATACCTTTCTATCAGCTTAAACGAGCCATTCCTCTCTGACCTTTGCCATCGACAAGGCATTTTCACCCAGAGAACCACTGCTTACTCAATTTTTTTTTTCTTTTTTGGCCCATTCTCTGTAAACCATAGAGATGGTTGTGCAAGAAAATCCCAGTAGATCAGCAGTTTCTGAAATACTCATACCAGCCCATCTGGCAACAATCATGCCACATTCAAAGTAATTTAAATCACCTTTCTTCCCCATTCTTGGGTTTGATATGAACATTACATTCCTTTGACCTATATCTGCAAATCTTCATACATTGTGCTGCTGACTTAGGATTGGCTGATTATTTGCTTCTTAGAGCAGCTGAACCAGTGTACCTAATAAAGTGGCCAGTCAGTGTATATGCAAAGATCATGTACTAACCACACAGAGAACAAACTTAAATTTAAGTGTCAATATATCCCACTAACCTCATCCAAATATTTTGCTATAATACTGAAAATATGGCAAGTGGCACCTCCATCTAAAGTTTTCTTTTCAATAAAAGATGCAACATTTATTTGGCAAAAAACAAAGCAAACTATTGTGTAACCCAATGTTGCTATAAGCTATTCATGATTTCAGTTGTGATCTGTGAACAGAACGTTTTTCTTTATCATTGATTTCATATATTACACTTACTGCATGACCATGAGTAGGTAGCACCGGAGTTTATGACATCACCAAATGCTGTTAATGTGACCATTGTAGTGTTTGGGTATATAACATTTGGATCTGCCTCAATATCAAATCCATCTTCATTATCACGAGGCACTCTCGAAGAGTCACCAGGCTACAAGAGACAAATTTTCATAGTATTAAAAAAAATACATAAAGAAAGTTTATTTTTAAAATGGAAATGCAAATATAGGACATATGCATAAAGAAGGATTAGCAAATAGCGTGCTGTCTAAAAATTTGTAAATCAAAGATCCATCCATCCATCCATCCACCCATCTATCCATCCATCTCCCATAACTACTGATCCCTGGCTGGAATAAGTGGATTCATGCACACACAGTGGAAAATTTAGAGTGTTCATGCAAACTCTTTTGACTGTGGGGGAAAATGTGGAGAAGATGCTAACTGCAGAGAAGATGCTAACTCCATGCTAACTCTGATTAGTTGAAAATCCAGAAACAGGTTGGAAGACAGAATGAAACTTACCACATGGTCACTGCAAATCAGAGTTATGTTTCCAGCATCCTGTACCATGCTGGAGAGGCTGTTTGTTGCATTAACCTTTACACTCACTGGCCCTGTAAAGAATATTTTCAACAGGGATGAAATTCCGAACTGCTATGATCTACTTCTAACAGCATTATAAGTATATGTACATATTTAACATTGATCAATGGTATGACAATTACAATAAAGCTCTAAGAATCTTTTGGCAACTATTATATTGTCGTTGTCCGATGAAAACCTCATATCCATTTTTTGATTGTTTTCATGATGTTCATTTGTGTGGATTACTTTATATCACTAATTTTAACAGCTTAAAGTTGATAGCCAATAATTTACTAAAATCATTGTTAATATTGAACATAAAACGAGATTAGCTTGTATCTTGACAGTCACATAGTTGCCTTGTTGACAACAATCCACATAAGTTCATTTAAAACATTAAGCCATTCACTCTGGGCTGTGTACAGATAAGTTTCTATCTGTGGTGCTAAGGGTGTTTCTTTAAGTTGATATAGGTTTATCGGTAACACTAATTGGGGGGCACAAATAATGTAGTAGTACACGCTTAATTAATGCATTGATTAACCAGTAACTAAGTGTCAGTACTGGTCCCATGTTTGTTCATTAGTGATCAGTCATGACGGTTCATGTACTTCATGCAGGAACTATATTATTTTATGATAATTTCATTATTTGTCACTTTTTTATTATTTGTGCCCCCTCAACCGACATGTTGCAGGTTTATTTTGTGAAGTAGTTTCTGAAAAAAAGTTTTGTTTTCGCGCTACTGGATTTTTGGAGATACTGTATGTATTTTTCATTGGACACTGATGATATCTTAAAAATGTGAAAAAGCCTAGTTGTTTAGTAAAAATATATAGCTGTCATTTCATATTTTTGTTGTTAGTCTCTTTTTTTAAACTTTATATATATATAAATAAAGAAAGATTACTATAGGTTACACTACATGAATGATGGGGGAATCAGATGAACGAATGGGCTGGATCAGCACCTTGAATCTTGGCCGTAATGCTGAAGATTTGCAGGCTGCCGTCAAGCATATCCTTTGCCTCAGAATAACTGTTCCTTTCTCCAGACACCTGGAAGAGAAGCTGCACTGGGGTCCCACGCTCCAGCGACACGCTCACCTGCAGGCTGGAGCTCTGGCACGAGTCTGGGCCTTGCTCAACAGAGACCCGCAGACCCTCCACGGCCTCAAGGAGGCAAAAGTCCAAAGGCGCGGACACGGCCCCCGCCAGCACGTCACTGGAGGCTGACAGCTCCACCTGGTGGCAGCCGATACCTAGTCGCTGCTGAGCCAGGGGATCCATCGTGAGGTTGCACGGAACGATGCCTCTCATTGTCATGGCCATGGCCAGCAAAACTTCACCTTGCTGTAATCTGTATGTGATATTGGTTCCTGTGAGAGTTAAACATACCTAGTTTCACAAAGATGTCATTATGACCTCTGTGTAACAACATAAGCATGTGGTGTTTGGCCATTGGCTTGACGCAAACGGACATGCTGGGAGAAGATTTGTTCCTACCAGCTTCCAACTGGACCTGGATTTCCAGCGTGCTGCCGTAAAAGGCCTTGCAGTTGTTGCTCTCCCATGATTGGTTGGAACTGTAGCACCTGATGATTCCAAATTCAGTAGGTGGTTCCTGAATAATGATGACTTTCTGTGCTGCCACATGCCACTCACTGGTGGTGCACTCCACATTGACAGTGAAGACACCTGATCGGTTGTATCTGTGAACCATATTTTCTGACCTGAGGGGAAGAACCCAAATTCTCAAACACAGTACTGCACATTTAATCGCTGGTTCACAGCAAGACTATTAAACTGGTGTTTAAAGGTAGTACAAGTGCTTGATAAAAGCTGGATGTAGAGAAAACCTCTGTATAATTGGTGGCTCACTGGGTAGTAATGCTGTCTCACACCTTCAGGGATAGGGGTTCAAAAGGAACGCATTCATGCGGATTGATGTATGAGATGTATGTGCCCTGTACCCAATGTGTGCCCTGTAATTGGGTTGGCCTGGCGGAAAGATGTTCTGCTGCTCTCACTTTGAGAACCGAGCAGTAGGATGGGAACCAGGACAAACAGAACTACTCACTCTTTTGAATTATAGGCGTCGATAGTGTGTCCATCTCCAGCACTCAGGGAACAAGTAAGATTTCCTTGGAAAGGATGAAGCAGCCACTTTACAGTGATGGTGACGTTGTCAAAAACTGCTGCAACCTCACTCATCAAAAGCAGCAGGCCTGAGGGCCACGACAAACAGGAATAAAGACAATGGCCACTCTCTATAGGCTACCAGTGCAGAGCAAACATATGGTTACAAATAAGCTCATTTGTACACAGTTTGTGTGTTCAGGTGGCTAACATTGAGCATCTTCAATTATGGGCAAAAGAGAGCAATGACAAATGTGCAGTGTTGGGCATTTCAGGCTGGAAACTATAAATCCAGACCAAGATTTTGTTTCTACCAACCAGCTGAACTTAAAAATTCACAGTCACAGAGAACTCAACTGCTTGGTAGAAACAAAACCTTGGTCTGGATTTGTAGCTTTTGAATGCCCAACACTGCAAATATGCAAATGCAATTATATATAATATAATATAATATAATATAAAATAATATAATATAATATAATATAATATAATATAATATAATATAATATTTAAATAAAATAAAGAAAACAATGTAAGGGTTTACACCAACAAAACTGATCATTCCTCTTAGCAGTGAATGTCAAAGATATTCATGATGCGCCACAGTACTGACCATCTTTGCAGTGATAGTCCACTGACAGGTAGCTCCCCAGCCGTGGGCAGGACTCCCCAAACAAACCCGCGTCGGCAGTGACCTGGCACACCTGCAGTCCGTGGCAGTGCCCTGGGGACGCAGCAAGGCTGAATGGCGACACCTCTGTCTACATCAGTGAAACTACTACAGCTCTCTGCCCTCAACCCATCAGTGCATGTTTAAAGGGAAGCATGCAACACCAACTTAGCTGGAAAAGGGAACATTCTGTATTAAAAGGGACTCATTATTTTTGCAATTCATGCAAGCAACAATACTTATCATGCTACCCAGGAAATGCGATATAAAAACACAAATACTCAGTTGTTTCGGTCAGCATGTAATTAAATATGTTTTTATCTTTCAGCATGTCAAAGGCTGTTTTAGAGAATGAGAGTCCCTTGTGGTTTATAATTGATGATGGGACAGGTTCATCAGGATCTGATATGGCTATTGCGTTTTCTGCAGTACAAAGGCATGTTTATGAGAGTCTTGTAACTCAGAGGCATGCAAGTGGAATTGGGTTTCAAAGTGGCTTTCATTGGTGGCCTGTGCATCTGGTCCTCTGTTGACTTTGAACATGTGACCGAGGCCCTCCTATGATCATTAGTGACACCACCCCAGCTAATGCTGTGGTTGTATCAGCCAGCCCCGCGCTGAACACATTTCCCAAGAATCTGTTTATACAGAACCAGCTGCAAGGTCGATAGATGTGTGTTTGTACAGAGTTTAAATGTAACTTCCCACCTAATCAAACATTTCAGTGTCAGACACCATAAAGTACAAGAGATCATAATTAAACAGGTGATCTCAAGTCAGATTTATTAAATTATTACTACTTTTGACCCAATTAACCTGTATAGCAATAAAACCACAACATATCAATAAACTTTCTTAACATACTAAAGAGCAGAAATATACAGTACAAAACTGCATAGTTATTAACTGATCCTACAAGTAAAGAATAAAGCATAACATTTTATGCAAAATGTAATTTACTTTAAAACATTAAATATTTGCAAATATGAACAAAAGTGCAGTAAATTTGTGTACACTAAATGCTTTTCTCTCCCCCTCAGTTATAAGTAATACATTTGCAGGCATTTGCATGGTAAGAGTGACTGTGTTTCGCCACTGCACGTAAATTGAGAATACAATTACTAATCTAGATTCTTTCCAGTTTCTTATCCAGTGCAGGGTTGTGAGAGCCCTGGATCCTATCCCAGGTAGAAAAGACACAAGGCGGGAAACATCCTGGATGGACGGGAAGTCAGTCAGAGGGAATACAGACAGATCGACAGACAGACACACACACTGCAGACAACTGATATATGCTGAACCTATACAGGAGGTTTTAGGCCAATCAGAAGTGGTCTGAATCTATCACTGGTTGTCAAAACATTTTGTGTTGCGTCACACCTGTCCACACCTCCAGTCAGTTGTCTCCACTGCCACACCCTCAACTGATTAATTGATTAAGCATTGCATAAATCATTTCAGGCCATAAATTACCTGAAAATGGTTCATAAAACATTTTGGTCAAAAAATATTTGAATTTATGTTTTAAACTAACAGAATTTAAAACATATTCAGTGAAAAATGCATGTGCTTTCTCTTCTCAAATGATGCAAAAACGTTAACATTAAAATAGTTCTTTCTTTAATATTTCTTAACTGTATTTGACTCTCCCTGCTGGCCCCTGGAGGATGGGCTCCCCCTTTGAGTCTGGTCCCTCCCAAGGTTTCTTCCTTCTAGGGAGGTTTTCCTTGCCACTGTCGCCTATGGCTTACTCACTGGGGGCTTTGGGAGGGGATGCTGTAAAGCGCTTTGAGACTATGTAATGCTGTGATAACGCGCCATACAAAAATAAATTTGTTGTTGTTGTTAATAATTCATTTTTATTACTGATTTTACCATAATAGTACATCATGAATAAATGAATGGTAGTCGACAGTACTAAATAAACTGTTGTTAGGTACAGTGCTGCGACAAAGCTTTTGTCATATTTCCCTCTATTTTTGTTTATCTGTAACAATTAGTTGTGTCTGATCTCCAAACAAATTTAGTATAATACAAAAGACAACCTGAGTCAACACAACACACAATTTGAAATGATCATTTGATTTATTGAAATAAAATAATTCACCAAAACCCATATCACCCATGTGACAAAGTAATATTTGGTTGAGCCACCTTTTGAAGCCACAACTGTAATCAAACGCTGGTGGTAAGAGAAGATCAGTCCATAGCATCACTATGGATGCCACTCTTCAATACAGAATTGCTTTAATTCAGCCATATTGGAGGGTTTTGGAACATGAACTGCCCATTTAAGGTCCTGCTACAACATCTCAATGGGGTTCAAGTCACATTTCACTACACGTTGTACTTGTATAACTGTGACAAATAAAGAATCTTGAATCTTGAAGTCAAGTCAGGATTAGGCCACACCAAAACCTTAACTTTTGTTTATTTCTTCTGGCATTCAGAGATGGACTTGCTTTTATGTTTTGGATCGTTGTCCTGCTACATAACTGAACTGATCACGGACCTGACTTTCTCCTTCAGTTCTCTCTGGTACACAGATGAATTCATGTGTCCCTTAATTATGGCAAATCACCCAGGCCCTGAAGCAGCAAAGCACCCCCACACCATGGCAGTACCTCCACCATGTTTGATTATGGGCATGTTCTTTGTGTGGAAAGCTATGTTTGTTGGGATTGATCCCTGTCTTGCCCCATTTTGTCTGTCATATCCCCTTTTTGGCCAGCAGGTGTCACTGGCCATCTTGTTGTTTTCCAGGTCTGCTCTGTTCCTAGTGTGTTCCTCTGCTCCCATGCCCACTTTCAGGGTGAATGGGTTAAGTGGGTGGTTGTTACCTAAGCATCTCTTCCATCATGGGATTGAACTTGTTGAATATTTCTGTGTTTTGTACTCTATATCCCAGGGATGTCAAACTCCAGTCCTGGGGGGCCAGAGCCCTGTGTAGCTTAATTTTTTCCCTGTTCCAAGGCAAATGATTCAGCTCAAGAGCTGTGTGGTAATTAGCACAAGGAGGTGCAAGGAGTTGAATCAGGTGTGTTAAATGAGGGGAAACCCAAAAATGCGTAGGGCTCCAGCCCTCCAGGACTGGAGTTTGACACCCCTGCTATATCCGGTTTAACATAACTTGTTAATTTTCTAATTTCTGCATGATTCCTTGCTTTGTATTTTTGTTTACTTCTCCTTGTGCCCCAGTTTTGTAATCCTGGTTTCTCCTATTGCTTGAACCTTTAGTATTTGTTAATGACCCTCACCTCTGTCTCATTGTTCCCAGTCCCAGTGTTTGATTAATTGTTACGGGTACATACTGTTTAGTTCTAGTTTTATATCGTGCCTTTGTTAGACCACTTGTGGTTCCTGTTTTTTTGTTGTTTTTTGAGTTCAATAAAGTTCCCCGTTTCGTAAGCCACAATATGGATAATCTGTTACTCTGCCATGTCCTGCCGCAAGAAGTTATTTTCATTTGGGGACGATGCTCTCGTGGTGGTTCACTGGACTCCAAGGCTTTCAGAGAGTCCTGTGTACCCCTTTCCTGAATTATATATTTCAATACTTTTCCCTCAGGTCTTCAGGAAGTTCTTTTGATTGAGGTATGGCATGCTACTTCTTGAGATCCCTTATCCACCCCCACATTGCTGGAATGATTCTATTTAAGTGATGTGTAGATTCAACAGGGCTGGTAGCAATCAAGCTTGGATGTGACTAGTGCAAGGCTATGCAACTCATGGTCCTGAAGGTCCAATCACTTCTTTACCTGTGAGCCGGTGTGAAGCCTCTGGCCAATCAGAATCAGTAACTATTAGACAAACTACCTGGGAGAACTGAAAACAAGGCCTGGATTTGGAATCAGGGTCCAGAGTTGAAGAGCCCTGGTGTAGTGTAATTTAACCCATTATTATTTCGATTTGGTTCAGTAGTTGATTGAGTGACTAATCACTTTGTCACAAAAGTGAAATGGGTAATTTTCTTTTCTTCAATAAATCAAACAATCAATTAAAAACTGTGTGTTGTGTTTACATTTTTATATTACTCTAAAATTGTTTGGAGATAGAAACATTTAAGTGCTATAAATAAGAAAATACAGAAGGAATCACTAATAGTTTGTCACGGCACTGGAATAGCTTAGATGTGCTGGATTATAGACAGAGTATCATGGGCACCTGCAGCCGAACGCACCGTGTGTACTCCTGGCATTTAGGCTTGTTATTTGGCTAATGTTACAGTACATGTGTTTTTTGCCTTGCTATGTCTGCAATAGAAACATAAAAAAGGAGTTAGGCTGAATAATTCTAGGTAAAATATGAATCAGGTTTTTTTTTTACTCAGAATCGAGATCACGATTTTCTATCATGATTCTTGGGAAATATATTTCTCTCTCTATTATTATTATTATTTTGCATTACATATCGTCCTATTTCATATGTAAATATGTGCTATGCATAAAATGGATAAGCACCACTCAAAAATGCCAATGGTCTTCCCCTGTAGAGATTTGTATCTTGAGATCACGGGGTACTGAGGCTAAATTCAATAACACTTCCATAGGAAACTCTGGGGACATGCATAGAGGCTGTGTGCAGCGCAGTACCTTCCACTAAGTGGCTCACATCCACCCAGCTGCACTCCTCCAGGACAGATGGAGCCTCCCACCCTGGTGTGGAAGGGGGAGTGGGGGTCACTTGGCAGTAGTGTGGGGTCTTCCTGCCGTAGAAGCTGTCGTCAACCTGGATCACCCGCCCCGATCCACACTGCAGAGTGGCATTGTGGTTTGCGCAAGCCAAGGAGCGACCCGACTCTGAGATACAGAAACATCAGGGAGTCTGGGAAATCACTGACACACACAAGCAGAAAGCCGCACGCCGGTGACCCAGCACAAGAGCAGCCAGGCTGGCTGGACTCACCGAATTCACAGACAAAGTAGAACTCCTGGCTGCAGTTGTCTGTAGCCTCCCACTGAAAGGCTGAATGCCTGCGGACGTGAGCACAGGAAGCCCCTGGAAGCGGCTCCTCGGCCCAGTTAGCATAGCTGACGTCAGATCCGTCCAACCAGGACAGCGAGTCTGTGAGGTCAACAAAGTCAGCCAAGAAGAAACCAAAAGTTCTTATTCTGCTCGTTTCTGTTCATGGAAATTCAAGGAAATATCAACTCATTGTTTTTGTGAGCTCCTTCAGTTACATTACACACTTTTAGTAGCATTCGTATAGAGGAATCCCCGTGCATTTAAAACATACAAGACTTTTATTAAATGGTGTATTACGCATCCTTTGGTAATGTGGACTATGGAAAAGATACAAAGCCTTATTGAACAAGGAGTAAATGAATCCTATCTGTGTGCTCTCCAAAAGTTGTCTGTGGCTAATCTGAGACCATAATTGTAATTGATAGGAATTGATAAGGACAATATTTTTTTTATAGAAACCAGCCAATTTAGAAAAAATCACTCTGGACAATATTTTCCTTACTATGGAAAATACATTAAAGTATAACAAATTTAATTGCCCTTATTTGTTAATCCATCTACCCACAAGTACTGGCTCATGGTGAGCCTGGAATCCGTACCAGGAAGAATGGGTTAGAGAGTAGAGGAACTCTCCAGAAACCATGTCCACCCATCAAGGGCCCATGTACACACACACTAAGGTCAATTTAGAAATTTCATCTACCTATATGATTTTGGAGTCAAAGGAGAACTACACAAACATGGGAGTACATGCAAATTCTACACACAGAGAACAGGGGGATTTGATCGTCTGAGTCTGGAGGCATGAAGTCACCCTCATTATTTTTTTTTAGCAATTTTTAATTTCTTAAAACCTAACAGTTCATTCATTGAACGTATGTTTTAAATGAATTGCACTACCAAAGCCTCCTTTCACTGTCATACTTTTCCATTGGCACTTAAATTTTGAGTAATTTACTATAAACAACAACTGTTTATTCTGTGTACACAAACAGCTGAGGCATTATTGGAAGCAAGAAGGGAACCGTCCATCCTTTCCCTTGTCAAACTTTAAGTGTTTATACAACTCATTCAACTAAAGTTATTGTCGTACAATACATTAGTCAAGCACTTTATAATCCACACATGCTAATATAAGGTTAGTCATGGAACAGGGGTCCTACCTTCAGCTACAGTGAGTTCCAGAGTGAGATTCTGTCTAGCAGGTGCTAAACCCAACCACCAGTCCTGTTCTGGCTTCAGGTGCCTCTGCAGGAACTGCTGGATCTCATCGTTCAGGATGAAGGCCAGATGCCCTCCGCCCCTCTCACACCAGCCCTGAGCACTGAGGAAGGAGCGCTGCAGGCTGACAAACTCATAACAGGAGGCATCGAAACTCTTCTGGTACTCTGGGCATAGAGGCCCACCTCCCTGCTCCTCAGCACCTGACCGGCACGCACACAGCAGGACAGCATACAGAGCCAGCAAAACAGGGGCAGTGCCCATCTTCGCTTGCTCCCACACAGGTCTGACCCAGGCACCCCCCAGTCTACCTTTAAAGCGCAATGACATCACCAACAATCTCCTAGAGATGGGACAATGTGCGTAAGCTCCAACAATGGGCCTGAACGACTGATGGGCTGGTTTTCTGTGGTTCAAGAAGATCCATTATCCCTGGCACACCAAGGCATTATAGGCAAACAACAATAAAGTCTTTAACTCTGAGCATCTGCATACATCTGGAGGCTCTGCTATCAAACCAGGCACCCATTACCGTATTCCTGCTCCACCTGCAGAGAGAGATAAGCTTTGTGGTGTAGCTTGCTGATAATCATGGGCCATTATAAGTGCCCTTCATTCAATCAGGGTTTGTTTAACATTTTCAACTCCATTGTAGTAGATGTCCTACTTTCAGAACCATGGGTCATAAACAGAGCGGAAAGAAAGCTCTCTTTCTCCACATGGAACATTTCCTTCAGTCTACTACATTAATACATTCATAAAACAATGCTCAATATATAATCCAAAGTATCTTGTGAGTCATGCGTTAAAATGTATTCATGTAAATACCAGCTTTGTAACTGAAATAAAACACTGAAAAACTCTTATAATAGTTACAGCAAAGAGAACACAACCTGTAATCCATATCCATAGCTACACAGATTCAGATGACATGCAGTTTATCACATTACAGGTACTACCAGTAGCACTATTTGCACAAGTAAAATTAGTAATCTATTAGTGTAGTGGTGGTAGTATTTATAGTAATAATACTAGCTGCACAATGCCTATACTTGCTATAGTCTGTTATTATTTCTGCTGTATTAGTATTAGCATGAATGGAAGCAGTACTGACTTTGCCTAAAGAGCATAATGCATAGTATTGGGCACCCCGCTTGACAGCAAAGCACCCAGGTGTATGCAGATGCTCAAAGACTTTATCGTATGTTAGTGTTTATGTGGAGTATCATAGATTAGCCAGGGCACAAACACAGCATATGAAAAGGCCTGTGCTGAGCAGCTGGTGAATGCGATCCAGGGCTGGGGGATCCACCCCTCCAGCACCGCGTTGGTGGAGACGAGTCGTGTGAGTGTGAGTCTGGGCATATTGCCTCTATAAGAGTTCCAGTTTCCTCCTGCAATCCAAAGACATGTGGTTGGACTAACTTGTCATACTGTAGTTCCTCCCCTGGGAGTCCCTGACTGTGTCTGTCCTGCCTCTCTGGGAGTCCCTGACTCTGTCTGTCCTGCCTCTCTGGGAGTCCCTGACTCTGTCTGTCCTGTCACCTGAATTTGCCCCAGGTTCTGAGGCTTTGATCGTGTAGTTTGAAATCTGTCTTCTGGTTTCTGAGTTTGCCTTGCGCTTGTTCTCACTGCTGTTCGCTCCTTGCCTGACCCGCGCCTGTCTCACCGATTTCTGATTTGCCTTTTGATTTGGATTCTGTCTGTCTGTGCTGCTTTTTGACCAGGACATGTCTCTTGCTGTCTCCGTATCTGAGCCCTCATTTTCCCCGCTGTTCATCACACTAACTGGCACCTCTATATTGACCATGGTCCAAAACTATATGAAGCGGGGTTACTGGTTTATCGGGGTAACTTGTTGGATTTAAGGTACCACAGTTCAAATGGACTTCATATTCGTTCACTTACATTTTGCCCAGACTACCTTAAATCCGACAAGTTACCCAGACAAGCCAGTAACCCCGCTTCGTAGTACAGGCCACAGGTGATACTGCGGGCTCATGGGTCCGCGGTCACGGATCAAACAAAAATATTTTAATTATATTCGGGTAATTTGCAGTCGGGTCACTTAAAATAAAATGTAAGCATATAAAGGATGTCGGGCATCATTTTGTCTTCATTATTATTAGCGTTCTAGTCGGGTTGAATTATAAACACGTTTTCTTTTTTAGATCTACTACGGCGTCTTAGGGCATTGTTAAAAATAAATTACAGGCTAATGGATTTCCAGAATAAAGTCGTATTTCTTCGGTTATAGCCTAATTTAGAGATATTTGGAGATTCTAACTAGAAATAATTCGAGAATAAAGTCGAAAGGGGACGACAGACACCAAGAGACAACACTGCACACGGTCACCACGATAGCCTGTAAAACACCACTGCCTGCAGCTTCAGCTTCACCTGTGGCATGCAGTGTGTATTTGACGTACAGGAGAGGGCGCCACTGCTCTGATTGACTGGCATCCCAATCTGAGTCGTTCATCTGCCTATAGTGCCCTGGGCTTCCAGGGATCACTCTGACCCCACGCTGGATAGGTAGTTAGGAGATGAATGGCTTAAACCCGTGAAGAAATGGCAGAGAGAAGTGTCTGGTGAAAGGATAATTATGATAAGGAACCAGCAAAATTAAAGACCAACTTTAGCTAGTTTGTGCAATAAGTATATATTATAGTAGGCCTAACTTATAATAACCTCAATTCTTATAGTTTTGTTAGCTATAATTAAAACGTTGAACTCTTCTAACATTATAACAGTGCCATTACAATTCAATAGGAATTTGGATGAACTGCACAGCTCTCACGGTCTCAGAAAAGCGGAAAACATCCTAAAAGACTCCTCACATCCCGCTCACGACTTATTCCAACTGCCGCCATCAGGCAAGAGATACAGGAGCATGAAAACAAGGACTAACAGACTGAACAGTAGTTTCTACCCTCGATCAGGGCGCTGAATGACAACTAATCACCTTCATACAACTTGAGTGCAATAGATACAATCTCGTGTAATATGTCTTTTATATGTAATTTATTTTATAATTCTTTGAGGCCGCAAGGACTGCACCTAATTTCGTTATACATATTGCAATGACAATAAAGATATTCTTATTCTGATGAGAAAACTATAGGCAATCTGTAGTAAAAAATAAAAAATACATGGCTAGGTGACACAGCTATCTAGTATATTGATAGCAGGCAGTTTTAAAGAGTCTGTTTACAGTATAAGAGTAATTAAATCGTTATAAATGCACATATATTATACGAAAGGTTGCACATTAAAGGCTAGGTCTGTGCTATACGGCAAAATATTTTGTCACGTTAATAAAAGTAATTATAAAATTTTAAACTGATTTTACTAATTGTATTAATAGTGTACAAAGTTAGAGATGCAATTTAATAGATTCCCCCGCTCCCCTTAACTCCGTGACGTCAGCCCAGCCATACCGCCCCCACGTCTTGTAGTTCCGAGTAGCCTGCCTCCCTCCCAGGCTGGAATCAGGGCGCTCACTCCGACAAGCTTAATGTCATGATGCCATAGACGCGGCGTGCAAAAGAGGAACAGAAAACGAATGTTTGTGGAAATGTCATAATCGATTTTTATTTATTTGTTTTTTGTTTGTTTGTTTATTTTGTGCCGGCGCTCCCTGCTGCCCCCAGCAAGATGCCGCCATGTGCGCCTGCCAATGTCGCCCATATTTAAATCTGCCAGTGGGACTAGGCCTATAATCACGTGTTTTATCAAAACAGTAGCATGTGCTGTGCTCCGCTAACTCAGTCAACCTTGCTATGTCTATGTTGGGTTTTTCATTTTCTTGTCGTCTAAATTCTATATATGATTTATGTCGCCCAGCCCTAGATAACATCTGCATATTGAACCTTGTTTATGGCTTATGGTTTGAAATTTACCTCAGCATACTTGAACTTTCAGAGGTACAAGTCCATATTCCCTATTCCCATTGGGGACAAAGGTAGTAAAACACCTGCTGGTCGCACAGCTGCTGATTCATTAGCAGTGGTGAAGTAATCTTATTTAATTAAATTTCTTCTGAAAAATGTAACGGACAAAATATAATTACATAATGCTTACATGAATGGAATCGGTTTTTCGTTTGTTTCCTTAATTTCCTGTATGAGGGAGATAACATTACTAGATCATCACTAAAATGGTTTAGCTCATTTGTTATTCTTTGAAATTAAGTTTTCATTTTAAAAGTTTGCTTAAAAGTCATGTATTTTTGTGTCTTGATTCTGAAAACAGCTATCATAGCGTTCCTTATTAAATCCTTATTTAGCTAGCTTAACATCTTATCAATCTTACTACTGTATCACTCATCAAATGTCATATTCTTTATAATATGGACGCACGTCAGGCAACTCTGACTTAAGTACACACATTTCCTTGCATTCTGTACTGTACAGTACATATTATATTTAGGTGAAAATATTCTATATGCGCTTATCTTACAGAACAGTTGCCGTGATTCCATTTTGTGATCTGGAACTTCCGGCAGAGGCGCGTATTTATTTGATCACATGACCATTCTCGAATTAGGTTTAAATAACAGAACCTTCTTAATATTAAGGACAGAAAATGACGTAGCCCGAATCACACTTAAAAGCAAGTATCACAGCCTAGTTATATGTGGACCGAGAGAGACATCTTAGGCAAGAAAGGAAATGCAAGAGATTTTCGGGAAGAACGGAACAGAAACGGCCGAGCCTGTAAAAGCGACTATTTCAGGTATATATTATATTGTTTGCATGGTGGAAAGGCGTTTTGTAACAGCGATGGAACTACCGATGTGCTATTAGCGCAGAAAAAATATATACTGTATTTCCAGTGTTACTGCAAGCTAGGGTACGGAGCCCCCGAAGTCCCATAGAGTGATTTTTGTGCCCACACGATTTAATAAAATCACCCTATGGGACTTCGGGGGCTCCGCAGTAAACCATAATGACCAACAAGTGAGATTGACGTCATACTGGTCAGTGCTCGCGATATACAAGGGCGTCGGAGAGAGTTTGATATTGCGGGGGCACGACATAATTTAAATGCAAAGGTCTATAATGGGGGTGGTGGGGTGTTACGGATGAAGCCAAATTAAATATTGCGTCCACCTGTTCCTACACCCCAGGCAATATATTACATGAGTTGGTCAGTACTCAGGAAGGAGTTAGTTTCACAATTGCAGGGTTTATCAATTTGTGTAACATGTGGGGGAAAAAACAGGTCTATTACTGTTTTAATGAGACAGTGAATGTCAGACTTTATACTTGGTTTACACATAACCTTTTGGATAAGGCCTCCATTATTGCGTCAGATCATAGTTGGAACTCTCACTGGCCTGATCATCAGCAAATCTTTTAGGAATTTGAAAGGCTTGAAACGGCAAACTTCCCAACTGAATGAAGAACATGTCGGCTTATACAGAGATCCACAGCAGCTGGACAAGTTTGCAGCCCTTGGGGTCGCTGTGAGGTCACCAGGCTGTTGGATTCTGTACCTGTTAGTTGTCCTGGCCTACTGGTTGCAGAATGTAAAACAATTTGAATAGTGTACATCATACGTCTGTAGTATGTAAACAAGCACAGTCACAGTAAGATTCTCAAGCCTTATGCTCTTATTTACATGATATCTAAGTGCATCCTGGGCCACTAGCACCATCAAACAAGTTGTACTAGTGAAAACACACTGGGGCTGAAGGGCAAGAAGCAGGGAGGGACAGGATGGCCAGCGACACCTACTGACCAAACGGGGCGGGGACGCGGAGGGCAGGTCAGACGGGCACTGACCCTGACATAATAATATGTGGGTTTCCCTAACTACCACCTAGTCGGAACCATGTGTGGTCATTAAGCGATTGATGTCTCAATATATGTCAATCAATGGTGGTTTTGTTGAGATATTTATATTGCATACAATTTTAATGTCAATGTATAACCACAACAACAATTTCCACGTGAAACCACAAAAGTGAGGCTGTTCAAAAATATCTAAGTATTGAGATAAACAGCCCCACCATTAGGTTGATAAAAGGAACTTCAGTGATGCAAAATATTTTCTGCCTTTCTAAGCTAATAGACTTCAATGTTTTTCTCATCATCTTCTGTATAGTAGTTGATTGGATAGTTATGGAATATGATGGGTTTTTTTAAACCTACCCAATGAAGCATGCATCAGCTAGTCTCATCCCATCTATATACCATAAATATGAAGTTAAATGTTTTTTCCTTTTTTTGCTAAAGAAACATGTCAGTGCAGTCGTATAATTAAGTCTTTTGGGAAATGTGAGGATTAAAATTTCCATCTGTCCCATATATTACACAATCATCCTGTACTGAAAATGAAAGTGCTGTGCCCCATTCTAAACCAATGTGGGACGTGATATATCTGCTATTGATATCAGCAGCCACGCTTAATAATGTAATAAATTATAATAGCTTATAATATATACAGTGTATATATATGCGCTTTACTGAAGCATCACTTGTGATTATCAATTATAATTAAATCACTTAAGATTTTTTACTCAAAAAGAAAATTATTTGATGTTTTTGATGAAATATTATGGTTCGCCTTTTGTGTTTATGTGCTCTGCAGGCTGCCTCCCTGACTGGTTGCAGGGCACACTGTTGCGTATTGGACCAGGAATGTTCAACGTGGGAGACACCAGTTACAACCACTGGTTTGATGGGATGGCTTTGATCCACAGCTTTACCTTCAAAGATGGTGAGATCAGACAAACGGTCAACAGACCAAAAATGCAGGAAATGAATGGCTGGGAATTCATTTGGTGGAATTGCGCTTGTTCTGTCTGTCAGGTGAAGTTTATTACCAGAGTAAATTCCTTAACAGTGAGACCTACAGGAAGAATATGACAGCCAACAGGATTGTGGTTTCTGAATTTGGAACTATGACGTATCCAGATCCTTGTAAGAACATTTTTTCAAGGTAAACAAACATATTTGATACACATATTGGAGACAACCACGTGAGTATTTTGTGTCATATACTGCACTTTATGTCATTGTGTCTTGTCCTTGTTCAACTACCCTGTGTGCCTTTAATTGCCCCTCGGGGACAAATAAAGTTATTTGAATTGAATTGAATTGAATATATAAGTTGGGACCTGAACTTGAATGCAACTTGAATGTTCCTAGATTGCGTGGCAAGATGGTCATGCTGTTGTTCTCTTGAGCTACCTAACCTGACCTTGTTCTGAAAAGGATAGTTCCATAAAGTAAATAAAATGATTAGTGGTTTTGGATTACATAATTAACTAAGCACAGAAATTACATTAATAAAGCAAACCATGTGTTTATAATTAGTTAATAATTAGTTGCAATGCCCTAGTTCAACATTATCCATTAATAATTTTATGATGTTTTAATTTTAGATTATTCAGCCATCTATCCAATATAATCCCTGACTTCACAGATAATAATTTAATAAACATAATAAAGTATGGGAAGGACTATTACACCTCATCAGAAGTGAACTACATTAATAAAATTGATCCAGAAACCCTCAACACAACAGGGCGGGTAAGAAATCCAAATAAAGTTGTATTATTTTCTTGTGGTGATGTCGTCCATTCAGGGGCCACCCATTCAGGGGCCGTCCTTTCCCTTAGTAGTTTCTTGAATTTCAGGACAACTACAGGAATCATATTACTCTGAACCTGGCCACGGCACATCCTCACTATGATGACGAGGGAAACACCTTCAATATGGGGACATCCATCATTAAACTTAGCCAACCTAATTATGTCATATTCAAGGTGCCAGCCAAGGCTTCAGGTAACAGGTCCTATTGTGCTTTTATTGCGAAAATGAAATTCAAGAATTCAAGTATAAGAATATATAGTTATCAATATACTGTATATACCCACAACCACCTTTCCTGCAGGTAAATCAAGCAAGAACTCAGTTCTTAAGAATGTGCAACAAGTATGCTCAGTGCCTTGTCGCTCCAGATATTACCCAAGCTACTTCCACAGCTTTGGGTTGACTGAGAACTACATCATCTTTATTGAGCAGCCGTTTAAACTGGACATCATTAAACTGGCTACAGCCTATTTCAGAGGGTTCAGCTGGGCAAGTTGCCTCAAGTATGACAAAGATGACATCGTAAGCATATAGAAAAGCTGCAAGGCTTTAGATAACGGACATAATTTCTATGCACTTACATTAAAATAGCCTTTAACGATGTTTTTGGTCATTTTATTAGACATTAATCCATCTGGTCGACAGGAAGACCGGCAAGGCCGTTTCCAAAAAGTTCTACGCAGATGCGCTGGTGACGTTTCACCATATCAATGCCTTTGAAGATGAAGACCACGTTGTCTTCGATATAATCGCCTACAAAGACAGCAAACTATATGACATGTTCTACTTGAGCAACTTAATGAAAGAGACCGACCAATTCATTGAGACTAATAAGATGTCCTCTCCACCAGTATGCCAGAGATTCATCTTGCCCCTCAAACCCAACAAGGTACAGGGGATGTCTGATGCATAATTTGGCTTCTGATTTCAGTGTTTTAAAGGCCAGAAGGATTCACGGTGTTAAAAAAAACTATATGTCATTTTGCATATAGTTGCATACATACCAAATAATCCATCATTAGACTGTTAGGTTTCATTGCAAAATGAAGTTTTGACATGGACAGTAACGTCAAAGTTGACCAGGAGTGTTTTACTGATCTTAGGGTGTAACAGCTGGAACCAACCTTGTGAAACTTGCCGGCACCAAGGCCACAGCTGTACAGCAAGAGGACGGCTCAGTGTACTGCAAACCCGAAGCTTTATTTGAAGGTACAGTGGTGCCCCCATATCCGCGGGGGACACTTTCCTACACCTACCATGGACATTAGTGAACACCATATATAACTAGTTTTTCATGCACATATATTTGGGCTGTCACTTTTTATCCGAACGCAAAACTATTAAAATATTTTCCCTCCCTGACCTCTTAGGGGCTCTGTACTAATGTGACGTTGTACACATGCAATGCTGTTAATAAAATACTGAAAAGATTGAGTATGTGTTGCGTTTCTTTCTTTTTTTGGGGGGGGTCATAGGTATTCAAACAAATTGCCTGACATTTTAAATTAGTTCCAAGTTGTTTTTGGAAAAAAGTGACAGTCTTATCATGCATACCAATGACAATGTTCCATTAAAAATTACACACAATACGACATCCACAACAACAACTAATAATAAAGTAAAACAATTATAACAACAAACTGTAATAAGTTAATGTTAATGTTTTTAATGAAGAGTACTGTGAAACCGTGGCAACCAACACGTACACTGAGATAGTCTCGCTGATTAGCAGGAAAGTGGAACAGTGTGAGTAGAGTGATATATTAAGTGCAAAGCGATGGAAAGAGTACTCAGATTGACGTACAATTTTAAACTTATGAACCGTTTGTTTTTGGAATCTTCCACTTAACATTTTTGGGGCCACAGTAAATCGCGAATAACTGAAATCACAGTTACCAAATCAGCGGATATGGGGGTTCCACTGTATATTAAGATATATTTTAATTAATATGAATAATAACTGTAATGGCGCATGATGTGTGACCTAAGGACAGACTAGGGTGGCAGTTTTTAGAGATGAACAGAAGTGAGGGAGGTTGCCAAGTTTGACATGAGATCTTACAGCACTGTGTACCAACTTCCTTGGATTTCAGCTCAGAAGCAATGATATAATGGTATTCTTGATTGTAACTTTACTAATAAAGTATTTGGCTTGATTGTTTCCATCTCTGTGTAGGGTTGGAACTGCCAAGAATTAACTACAAAATGAATGGCAAAATGTATCGTTACTTTTATGGTTCGAGGGTCGAGTGGTCGCCACATCCAAATAAGGTAAAGTGGTTCATTTGCAGCTCTGATGGGTTTTTATCTGATGAGCTTTACTGATAGTTAATATAACCTGCAGTCAAATGAACAGAAGTTCCAGCACTGTAGTGTCTATCTCGCTATAGATCGGCAAGGTAGACATTGTCACCAGACGATGTGCTGAGTGGACAGAGGACGAATGTTTTCCGTCAGAACCCATCTTTGTGCCCTCGCCGGATGCTGTGGATGAAGATGATGGTGAGAATTTTGCAATGATTAAACTTTTTTTTTTTTTTTTAAATAAATCGCTTTATTCAATGGTGTTAGATATTACCCAGGGAGAAGCAGCAGGCAAGTAGAGTAGTGATTTATAGGAAAACCCAACATTTAGGATGTGCTGTTGTTCCTACTCAGTACTAATTTATCTTTGTGCAAATTATTTGTTTCAGGGGTCATTCTGTCCTCTGTCATCTCCCAGAATCCAAAAAAGTCTCCCTTTCTGCTGGTCCTGGATGCAAAAACCATGAAAGAGCTTGCCCGAGCAACGATCGAACACAGCATGCACATGGATATACACGGCATCTTCATCCCACAGCCGGACTCCTGCTAACATGCTTTGATGCTTCACCCTAAGTGTAGTATTGGTCAGTGTTTGGTTAAACACTACTGCCATCTGCTTATGATATAATGAAACTTTGGAATGTGTCAATGACACATTTAATGATGTGAAGGACTGTATGGTGGTTTCAATTTATCAATAGTAATAATAGATACTTTATTGATCCCTGTGGGGAAATTCTCTTTACGCCTCTCCCAACTTGCCTTCTTAAGGGACAGCAAGGGGCAGCCACCTGTCGTGGCACCCAGGGAGTTGGGGATTAAGGGCTGAGGCCGGGTTTGAAGCGGCGACCTTCTGATCAGAGGCACGGAGGCTTAGCCCTCTGTTTGTTTTGCTTTTTGTTAGAATGTGATATTCTGGGACTATTTCAATAGTTTATTCAAATGGGCCTTTTAAATATAACAGGTTAACCCTTAGGCCAGGGGTCACCAAATCCAGTCCTGGAGAGCTACTATCCAGTAGGTTTTCTATCCTAATTGGCTTCTGATGAGCCACACCTGCTCCTGGTATTTACCTGAGAACTAGTGTGGCTCATTAGAAGCTGGGTATGATAGAAAACCTACTGGATAGTAGCCCTCCAGGACCGGAGTTGGTGACCCCTGCCTTAGGCCTTGGTCCCACTTTCCAACTGTCCGCTATAATTCCAATGTGAATATTTGCAATGTTTATTTGGAATATAGCCTCATTTGGCCTGCGGGTGACTGTTCCGGCTGGCAAACTAATGATTTAGTTAAAAAAAAAGAATCCGACCACACTAAGAACAGGTAGATGTGAATTAGCGTATCTTACATAAATGCAGTTTTGTTCCCCTTAAGTAAAATCCCTCACCATTATATTACTCAGTCTGACATTTTTATTGTTTCTAGTTTCAAACAATGCCTTTATTTCAGAGTGAAGGGAATTACTGAAGCAGATTCTGAGTTGGAAATTGCATAGTGTCATAAAAAACAGCACTCCAAAGTTCAGCAGATAGAAACATTCTATCATACTCTATTCAACTTAGCAACTTTATCTGTAATAAAGACTGGTTAATCATAGTGTTTTTGCTATCTAGTGTAATTTAAAAAATTAGATTAGGACAATAAAGCCAATCAACACAACTGATAACGGAATTTACAGCTTAAGTTTTACCTGTGCAACACAGCAAAGAAAATCTGATCTGATACCCTATCAATAATCTAATTATATATATGGCACTTTCATGGAATTCAGATGATATGCATTGCTGCTTATGGTTGGGTAGATCAGGATATTCTCCAAGGGTCTGATTTCCACAGGTGTATATGTTATTGCAGAATATTGCTGAATCGATGTAAATGGGTTGTTAAATGTTATCTGTGAAAAAAACAGCTGCGATTTTACCAGACCGGTCTCATTTTGACAAGAAGCATAACACCAGTGGCGTAGATCTGGGTATGGACAGAAGAGACATGTCCCTACCAGCATTACGAGACTGCTGTGTGTGTTTAGGGGGGTGGGGGGGGGGTTCAGGGGTGATTTGGTTCCTGCCATTGATGAAACCAAATCTACAGCCTTATATAACAGCATAGGATAGCATCTTTTGTGAAGAAACCCTGACTCCTCTATTTGATTATGCTAAACCCCGATTTCATTATTATTACAGCAAAATTGTATTATTTTAGCATGTAGTTGAAATATCCCCCCATAACCCTGACTAGGAGTTACGGGCAATCAGTGGATCAATGGAATGGATTTGTGGATGTATTTGTTATCATATTTCACTGACACTGGAATCTGAGTCATATTATAATAAAAAATATATAAACTAACAACCTTGTGTGATTGTGGTATTTCAGTTTCTGCGTATAAAGGAGTTCTTACATAATGATACACATATTATTGAATATTGTTACCTGGGACTTACTTAAAATCAGATATCCAGATTCGATATACAGTAGTTCACATTTGTAGAGTTTGAAGCAGAAGATCCCCATGAATGTCAAAATTTCAGATTATGGAGCAGACATTTGATTTAGAACGGCAAAACCAAATCTCAAACATAACATTTAACAACACGTGAAATCAATCACACTGTCAAAACATCATTTTGGTGTTTGTATAATTATTTGAATATCAAATCATATTCTACTGTTAAAATTAAGACCTTATCTTCCGTTTCTGTTATGAAATGCATGCAGTGACGTAGAACCCACGTTCTGGTTATAGGCTATGTGATAAGTTGGTTCACCACCAGGAAGTTCTATGTGGGTCACGTTTTATTAATGATTAATGCTTATTATTTAAAAGAACTCTTTCTGTATTTTGAAAAAAATGTACTTATATAAATAAAAAACACTTAATATATACTTAAAAGGGCCTTTATATAATATATATAATTTGCAAGGTAAAACATGTCTTTTTTATACTGACGTGTGGAGTTTATAGCCTACTAACGTGCGTAGTTTGTTACGCTTGATATATAGCGGATAGACTACAAACAACATAGCAAGGAAGATAAGATACGCTATCGCTGGATATGCACACCACGCATGGTGACTCCCCTTAAATATGTGTACGTCTGCGATTTATTTGCACGGACCAGCGGCTGAATTAGATTTGTCAGAGAGAGCCCTGACAGTATTCGGCGAACCCTAAATATCCAACAGAAAGAAGAACAAACTAACAAACAATGCCATACGATCACAGCAAGAATAAAGAAGAAATCCCCGATCCGATTAAGGCGTCAGTCGAAGGTATGATTAGAATTTTGCTTCATTTACAAAAAAAACTAAGTAAACATTGGCATTATGACCATAATGATGTCACACAAAATGAATGATGTACGTATGATTTTTTTAAATTTAATAGAACATTTTCAGTTTCCCAAAGTTTGTCCAGAAGTCATTGCCGAGAATGGCAGGGTCCTGGAGAATACCAGCTTTTTGAAATATTTCTTTTATTTCGAACTTTTATTTTTATACTGCCGGCAGCAGAGGCGCATCTTGTCAGCAGGCAGGGCAGGCAGCTGCTTGGGGCCCCCAAGCCACTAGATGGCGAACGAGAGCTGGTTTCATATTTTAAAGTCNCCCCAAGCCACTAGATGGCGAACGAGAGCTGGTTTCATATTTTAAAGTCCATTAACTTGTTGAAAATGGTAACTTGTGAAATAAAAAAAGTTTACTGTTCACAATTTTTTGTTAATGTCAGATTATTTATTAAAATGATGACAAAAACTGGTTAGAAGGGGAGCCCCCAGTGAATTTTTGCTTGGGGCCCACACAGACCCTAGGATCGCCTCTGGCCGGCAGTCTCCCTTTTAAAGCAGGGCTGACCAGTTACGGCCTAGTGCTAACCCTAACCCTAACCCTTAGACAGAAATAAATTGGGGATCGAGAGGGGAGTCCCCTTGGCAGATTTTACTGTACGAATGTTGTAATTATGTTTAGTATAATGGGTCTTGATTAGCAGTAATCTTTGTTTCACAGTAATATTCACCAATACTTGTAACTTTGTTGCTAATGCTATGTTGAGTGGTCTGTGCCACAATAAGGGTAGGATATTCTGATTATACCTAAGAGGACAACTAATACAACGCCTGCCACGCCGTTGGTTAAACTTGATTAACATTTGGAAGGTATCGATATGAGCAAAAGCACCGACCAGCAAGCTTACACTTTCACATCAGTCATATGCCGCAAACGGAAAGAGCTTAACAGAGGCCTCATCGCAGAAGCGGTAACCTTAAAACATTACACTCTGATCCAGTGCGTGTCAAACTGCATCCACAATGTGCATTCATGACACATTTACCATAGATAGCAGTGATAGCCAAATTAAGCTTAATGAACCACTTGCTGTATTTTCTGAGTCCACTAGATGGTGCACTCTATTCAAAACGATGCTCAAAGCATGCACCAAAGCAAACCAAGAGTGCCATCTAGTGGGATAAAAAAAATACAGCAAATATTTCACGAAGCTTCATTTAGCCATCACTAATAGAATAGATCACAGATAACTTTACAAAAACATTACATGTCCCGAAAACCTGTGAAAGTACCTGGCTCTCAGTGAATAGATGAACAGGATAGAATGATTGTAGGGTCAAAGGTCAAGATCTTTCAGGAATCCCCTCCTTTTTTTACACACCACAAACATGTTTTTTTACCCTTATAACTTACATTATCATTCCTCACAGCTCCCAAGACATCCACACCATCCATTCCTAAAACTCTACATCTCACCCTTTTTATATGATATGTGACTTTTTTTTATTATTATTTGAGACAGGCCGCCTCCCTGATTGGTTGCAGGGTACGCTTGTTCGCATTGGCCCAGGCATGTTCTCAGTGGGAGATACCAGTTACAACCACTGGTTTGATGGGATGGCACTAATGCACAGCTTTACATTCAAAGACGGTAAGGAGAAGCTCTCAGATGGTACAACAGGTTCAAGTAAGTTAAAGTGGAGAGAACCCAACCTACATTAAAGTCCCTTTTCCCCTTATTGTTTGGTTGGACCCAGATTATCGATGCAATATATCCTTTAACTTACTTCCAATGGCTCCTTGTAGACATTTCTTGGTGTTGCAGGGGATGTATTCTACAGAAGTAAATATCTCCAAGGAGATACCTACAAAGCGAACATGGAAGCCAATAGAATTGTAGTGTCAGAAATGGGAACAATGGCCTACCCCCATCCAAGCAAAAATATACTGTCCAAGTAAGTGTTCTGTTTGGACTTTTCCATGAGCACTGAGACTGTGCATTATGTTGCGTCACATGAAAAATATATTTAGAGTGTGAACAGCTTTAACATGAATATCATGCATAATTGAAACCCGTTAGGCCCCCTGTATCAGCAGGTGATACATTCCAAGACCTACCGTGGACAGCGGAACAAGTGGATAGTAGCGAACCATCTGTGGATCTCACATATAACTTGATTTTTGTGTGCATACATAGGGTAAAATTTATTTGACAACTTACACAGAGAAAGACATTACCGACATCAAAGACAGTAATAATAAAGTACACTGCACATTAATGGAGAGCACTGTACAGCACTGCACTTTCTCTCAGATGTAAGGCTAATTCTGAAGAGACGATACAGCAATGAAAATAAAATCATGTGTGGCGGAGCAATGAAAATTATGTTTTTATATCCTTCAATGGACAAAGGAACCATGAAAACATACTATTACACATTTTACAATGAAAATTAGAAAAATTTATTTATTAAAAAATAACAGCCTATTGTCAGTACTCAGCAGTGTACAGCCTGTTCCCGCTTGGTGCAAACTTTGAAACTTGTGAATCGTTTTTCTAGTAATTTTTTTATATTTTTCTCAGACTGTGGTAAACTACAGATACCTGAAACCATGGTTACTGAAGCTGCGGATACAGGGGTCCTACTGTATACTGTACGTACTGAATTATCTTTATTTTCAAAAAACATTATTTCTAGAGTGATCAGCTTTCTGTCCCACACCATCCCAGACTTCACTGACAACTGTGGGAATAATATAATAAAATATGGAATGGATTATTATGCTACTTCAGAGACCAACTATATACGCAAAATAGACCCTAACGTCTTGGACACACAAGACAAGGTAATTACAGTGTAACAGTGTTCGTCTGATTTTAACCTAATGGGTCCAACGAAGCTTACATGTGCTGGGCACTTTTCTGCGTTTTTCAGGTCGACTACCTAAAATATCTTTCTGTGAACCTTGTGACATCACACCCACATTATGACAAAGAAGGAAACACCTACAATATGGGGACCTCAGTCGCAGAAAAGGGCAAGACAAAGTACATACTATTCAGAGTTCCCCCTTCTGCAGAGGGTAAGACCCCCATAAAACTAGCCTTTAATCTATATCACTGCTTTTCTTCTTCGTCTCCAGGGCGAGCGCTTAAATCACACGTGAAAACCTTCATTTTTTAAGCATGTCTGCTTAGACCAGTAGGTATTATTCTGGAATTTAAAAAACATGCACACAGAACATGGTGAATTATATTTGCATTAGATGGTGTGTGATTCATATTAATTTAATGGTGTCAGTTGTATTATTGGAGTTATGGGAATATTTTTGTGAGCTGGCAAGGAGACACTGGGTGTTTCTTAATATGCGTAGGCCTACTTGACCGTACTTCAAATACAAGGATACATCAATTGCATCCTTGTCAATCAAGACCAATCCCATGATTCATTATGCCCTAAGTTCATTCTTGGGAGCCAAGTTAGCAAGACCGGTCTTGTCAAGATCACAAGTACAATCTTTGTGTTCTTGGTATTGAGAAACACCCATTGTCTTCCTCATATAAATCACTCTCCTCAGATGGTGCCAAAGCTACACCGGCCTTGAAGAACCTGGAGGTGCTGTGTACAGTGCCTTGCCGTTCCCTCATGAACCCCAGCTACTACCATAGCTTTGGCATGACCGACAACTACTTTATCTTTGTTGAACAGCCCTTAAAGCTGGACATCCTTAAAATGGCCACAGCATATATGAGGCACGTCAACTGGGCCAGCTGCCTCAAGTTTTGCCCCGAGGAATATGTAAGAATCTACAGTCACCTGCATTCTGAGGGTGCAAAACATGACCTTTGAAATGTTATGCACTTTGGGGTAAAGGTTTTTTATGGATAACCTCATCTCAAATGGAGTCAAATATTTCCATCTGTCTTACATCACATTCAGACCTTGATTCACCTGATACACAGACAGACTGGTAAGGAGGTGGCAAAGTTCTTCACGGATGCTTTGGTTATGTATCACCATGTCAACGCATTTGAAAAGGATGGTCACGTGGTGTTTGATGCCATCACATATGCCGACAACAGTCTGTATGAAATGTTTTACCTAAATATCCTGAAACTGGAAGTGGAGAAACCTGGGATGTCCGGAAAAGTCTTCACGAAACCACAATACAAGCGATTCGCCCTTCCTCTGCTGAATGACAAGGTACCATCTAGTCAACAAAAACACAACATACTTCATCTTTGATCCAAAGAAGACAACATTGTAACAGATGGACAATAATGATACAGGTATCAGGAAACAACACCAAGATTCACTAATTGGGAGCAGTAAATGTTTCTCTATGCTATTCCTTTAGGAGGCCAAATTCGGAGATGATTTGGTAAAGCTCACATTCACTACAGCCAATGTCATAAAAGAGAAAGAGGACAGATTATTCTGCCATCCAGAAATACTTTGTGAAGGTAATAACATTTCTAAATTTCTAATACACTAGAAAAGATCATGTGTGAGACATTCACCTGTTTTCCAGTTTCTGCGGTCGGTGTGAAGCCTAGTCAGCACCCTTGCTTCCATTTCTTTTGATAAAGAACAGATGCATTTCTGTACATCCTGCACTTGAATACTGTATTTATTCTGTATTTGTGCATTCTCAACCACAACAGGTGTGGAACTTCCCAGAATTAACTACGACTTCAATGGGAAAAGGCACAGATATGTGTACATGACCTGTACTGACATGTCAGCAATAAGTACAAAGGTATCGCTACAATATATTATATACCAGGACTTGTCATGAGAGCTTGTTTACTTTATTTACATCAGTATTTACATATTTAAGAAGAGCTGATCTGTAAAATGCAGGACATTTTGGGTTCTGTGAATAGGTTGTGAAGTTTGATGTTGAAGAAAAGAAGGCTTTGGAGTGGACTGAGGAGAACTGCTGGCCTGGTGAAGCAGTCTTCACTCCTAGACCAAATGCAGAGGAGGAGGATGATGGTGAGTTCATGCAGAAGTCACAACAAATTAGAACGAGACCTAAGATCTACTGAAACTGAAATCTACTGAAACACCTTAACGGTAAAAATATTTTTGATGGCAAATACTGCTGAAATGTCTTACTCAGCTTTTACTTACTACTTAAAATAAAATATTGCCTGTGTATTTTTACCAGTTTCATTTTAAAATAATGCAAGGAAGTGCTGAACTATTTCATTCATTTCTATATTAATTAATATTCACATATCGTTGCATTGGCATTCTCGTTGCAGGTGCTGTTTTGATTGTAGTCATCAAGCTCAGTTCAAGGGTGTCAGCCTTCCTGCTTGTGCTGGATGCCAAAACTTTTACAGAGATCACTCGGGCTTCACTGGATGTGGAAATGCACATTGATATGCACGGGCACTTCATACCTAAGCAAGGCAGCTAAGGTCATGACATCATAGTGAGAGTGTTCCATTCGGTTTGGTCATCAAGACGTCTGAAGCAGTGTCTTCTACAGATGGAGCGAATGCAGGACAAGTAACATAAATGAAAACAACCAAAACTGAAAACTTGTTTTTATGCATGGATTTTCAGACGAATTATCCTGGTCAGGGTTACCTATCTCACGCAGCATGAGGCCTGGGCTCATTGACATCATGTCTATCCATCACAAGGTACATACAATCATAATCTATGGACAACTTAGCCTAACTGCATGTCTTTAGATTGCAGGAAGAAACCTACATGAAATGCAGAGAACATACAGTCCTTCAACACACATGGCGGAACTGCTAACCTTAGAGTTGTGAGGCAACAGTGCTGGCCAATGAGCCACCCACCTATCTTCATAAGCCATTTAATTAATCATCTTTCCAAAAATAATATGCAATGGAGTTGCCCTGATTTTTTCTTTCATCATTGTACTGTTGAATGTGCCTCATGATAAATGTGCTATGTACAGTATCTTTTTGTATGTTTAAGTATCAGTATAAATAAACATTAAGTTCATTGATGTTTAATTGCGGTTTGTATATTATGGATTTACCATTAATACGTATACTTTTGGTACGTATTACTAATTACTAATACGTACTTTTGGTCTCCATTTATTACAAATCACCCAGCCTGCAATTATCCGGAAGAATCATGGATACAAATAAACTTCAGCCTAGCGGTTGAGGATCTTAAATTAACCCCATTTTTCATTGGCTCGGAGTGAAGTCAATCATTGAAGCCCTAAAAAATTATCCGGAGCCGCTACTCAATCCTACTAATCATCCATAATCTGTTGTGGAAACAAAAATGACATCAAAGTATTGCAATGGCTATTAGACTGAATATACTGCAAGATTAAAATGTTCTTCTTTAATTAAATGTAATTATAGAATCACTGAATTACATTTTACAGTAAGAGTAAATTACCATTTACCATTTACAGTGAAGGTTAAAAAAATAAAAACATAAACCACTTAGCACTACAAGAGGTCCTTATAGTCAACATTTTGATATATAAAATTAAAATGTACTTAATAAAGTACTCCGCAGATTTCTAGAACGGTCTAATGCTCAAGCTCTTGTCAGTAATTTGTCGTTCCTTACCTAGAAAGTGAGCCGAAGCTCAGGTTGCAGCGGTGTAAATCAGATTATTAGTTAAAATGGATTGTGACGTAAGGGTTTAACCAGCAGGGAACGTTACATATACTTTGTCGCAATAAGTACAGACTGTAGAGAAGCGCGCAGGAGTAAGCATTTTTGGGAGGTGGGGATGGTATATCTGATATTATAGTCTTGGGGAAATCAGAAGTGCGAACAGGAAATAATGGCATCGTTTTTGCAGGTGAGTGGTTGCAGTCTAAACGTAGGATTCGGGATCTTGTATGTAATATTAAGATGCATGTTTTTCTAGCTCAAAAATAAAGGTTGAACTGTGCTAAAAAAAATCGGGATACGGCGTGCCTGGTCTGAATTCAGATTGAGCCATTGTCTTAACTTTATTAGCTTGGATGCTTCAGGGATCGATAGCGTTTTAATGAGATTTTTAGGCTACGAAGGGCGGCGCCTTATGTATGTTCGGTGCGTACGTGGGTGTCTCCTGCAGCGGTCCAGGCGCGTGTCGTGTTTATCGCGTGCTGTCTGTCGCACGAGGCGCACTGCAGCTTCCCCACTGTTGCTAAGGCGACACCATTTATTTATTATCGCCTCCGCATTCAGGGCGAATGTCAATAATGGACGGCAGTGAGATGGTGAAGCAGTGGCGCATTTACTATGTAAAACTTCTCTGTTCTCCTCACGAACGTATGACTTTGCTATGACGAAAAAAAAATTATTCTGATTACAAAAGTCTTATTCTAAAATTTCTTAAAATGGTGATAGACGCCATGCCTTCCAATAATTGTTAAAAATATGTGTTGTAGCTTTTCCCCACGGGTTTAAAAACCCGGAAATGATCGAGTTGCTGAGTCTTGAGGTAGAGCTTTCATCATAAAACCATCACTTGGTTTTGATGCGTCAGTTAATACGTCGGGGGAGGGAGATAGGCTAAATGTAGAAACTGCTAATTTTCGTAAGGTAGGCCTAACTAGATTAATGTTCTTTACGTCGCGGACTGTTGAACTACAAGACATGGTGTGTGTTCACATTTATCAGTAAGAAGGCTTTTGCCCTTCATAATAGTAGCTTAGCATGTGATTAAAAATGATGAGTAATTTTTATTCTCGCTCAGAAAAGAAGCCGTATCCCTTTATCGGCGCTGACCCAATTCATTTTGAGCAGACTTGGGCACCTTTTTCTGTGAAAGGAGTGATTTTCATATTAATGCATAAGGCCAAAGAGATATACTGGCCACCGCTGTGTCCCACAGTGAGACCCCGGCCTATATTTGCCAGTCCTGTAGGATCTGCAAAGTGTTTGAAAGGTTTAAAACTGCTTGATTTCATACAACAAAGAACAGCGCTACACTATGTTAAAATTAATGACCAGGATTTTGCTGTGGAATTTTAAGGTAGGCATAGTTCTTGCATTTCTTGTTCAGCTGTTGTAAACAGATAATGAAAGTTATTTTAAGAGGGAGCACACTATTGTCTCACATCTCCATGCCTGAGGGTTTAAATTAAATAATCGTAACAGGCTTATGTCAGAATTTCTTGTCATGTTACCTGAGAGTATCTGGTCGCGTACATTTATCGTGTTATACTGCTTCTCTGCATGAGCTTACTTGTGGTGAAGCCATTCCATTTCGCTTGTGATATCTTTAATCTCCTTCCTCCTTCCAAGATTCCCGATGATGAGAAAGGCCATGACTTGAATCTGTTTTGTGTACCCAAACACTATGAAGAAGATTTGGATCGGGTGATTATTCCTCATGGGCTCATTATGGATAGGTACGCTCAATACAGCAAAGTCTCATGTACCCTTGCAGTTCCTCCACTTGGGCAACTTTAAAACACTGTACATCAATGGTATATTGCACACTATTTTCCTTGAATACCTGCCATAGAGATTACTGTAAGGGAAGCATTCTTCACGCCATTGCTTCCCAACCCGGTCCTTCAGGGACCCTGAGACAGTCCATATATTTGCTCCTCTACCGGGAGCTGGGAGGGAGCGAAAATGTGGACTTTCTGGGGGTTCCCCAGGACCAGGTTGGGAGGCATTGCATTACACTATTAAAGCTGACCATATATCTTTGCTGTTCTGTCTAAGCACGTCCATTTCTCCCTCTGCAGGACAGAACGATTGGCCCGAAATATAGTACAAGACATGGGAGGGTGCCATATAGTTGCCTTGTGTGTCCTGAAAGGTGGTTATACATTCTTTGCAGACCTGCTAGATTACATGAAGGCGCTTAATCAAAACATCGATAAATCTGTTCCGTTGACTGTGGATTTCATTAGACTAAAAAGCTACTGCGTGAGTGATTCATCTTTGTTTCTTCTCATTTAAAAAAAAAAAAGCCTCTAATATTCTTTCTGGGCCTTTAATCACTGTAGTAATCACCCTTCAGGGTGGATATAATTCTTAAGTGTGTAAATTTTGTGTTGGCATGCCTTTGGTGTCTATTACTGCGTAAAAATGTAAGTTAATGTGGTGGAAGACTGGAACCATAGTTAATTAAATGTTGTGTCGAATTGCATAAATCTCCAAATTCACTTTTCTAGTAAGACATGAATTCACATCTTGTATCGATTAATTTAAAACTGGTATTGTACACGGCCCTATTTCTTAATTTAATATATTGTGCTAATTCTACCTTGACGTACTGGAATTGGGGGGGGGGGGGGGGAAATCAGATGTGCACTATATTAGATTCATTGCTTGTGTCTATTCTGCTTTTGCTACTGCAGACAGTTGGAGGCATCCTGAAAGAGTCATTGTTACTTATTTATTTTCCAGGATGACCAGTCTTTGGTTGATGTTAAAGTTATGGGTGGGGATGAATTGTCTGCTCTAACGGGAAAAGTGAGTATGGAATTTCACTCATAAGAAAAATTGTTTGAACATTATTCTTTTATTTTTTACCCTATTCAGTCTTGCACTTTTCTCCACAGAATGTTCTGATTGTTGAGGTAAGATCATTGTGATTATATGCATATTTTGAGGCATATTTTAACTTACCTGTTGCAGAAAGCAATCTTGACAATCTTTTTTTTTTGTGTAATACCTTTCTGTGTTTCAGGATATTGTTGAGACCGGAAGAACAATGCAGACATTGCTTTCTCTATTAAATAAGCACAATCCAAAGATTGTCAAAGTAGTAAGGTACAGTTCTTAATTTACTCCAGTTTTTATAGTACAAAGGTTCTTGTGCTGGAAGGTAAAATAACATGGGTTCTCCCTAGTCTGCTGCATATCCAAGTAGGCATCACATAAAACTGAGTGCTTGTAGGTGACTTCCAAAAGAGGTGATTTCCTCATTTATGTACGGCGCACAGTGGCCATATTAATCTTGTGCAAACTTCTATAGCCCCCCTATTCAAATCTGGCCCTCAATTCCAAATCCAGGCCTCGTTTTCAAGTCTCCCAGGTAGTTAGCTTAATAATTTCTGGCTCTAATTGGCCAGAGGGTTCACAACTGGCTCTCAGGTAAAGGAAGGCTGGAAAAACAGCAGTGCTCAGACCCCGAGGACCGTGATTTGAATAGCCCTGTTTTACAGGATACACTTCAGTCACAATTATTGCATGATGAGTGGATTATCAAACTGGATGACATTGTTTCATTACAGCCTCTTGGTCAAAAGGACACAAAAAAGCTCTGGATACAGACCGGATTGTGAGTCCTATTTATCTTTTCTCTATGGGATAGTGTGACACACTTTAGGAGGACTTTACAGTAATAAGCCTAAACACTTAAATAAGCTTGCAGCTATGGCAACATTAATTATGATTCAAATAATAAAATCTCAATGATAAATGCAGTTTATTTTTCCATGCATATTGCGCTATTCTGGTTGAAATCTGATAAGCTCTTTACTGTCTCAGTGGTACTATAAGCTTCTTATTAGTTCTTTGGACTGTGAGTCTCATGTTTAATTTCTAGCAATGTGAAAATTTGTTATGTACTATTTCAGGATCATCTGAATTGCTTGGCACATTGTTTGCAATAAATATACTGTGTATTCCATTGTACTAATGCCTTTGGTCTTCCTCTGTGCCTTCAGACATTGGGTTTGAAGTTCCGGATAAATTTCTAGTCGGATATGCCCTCGATTACAATGAGTATTTCAGAGACCTCAGTGTAAGTAGATGAGATGTATGGGGAGAGCTGTTTGTGTGTGTCTGCAATACCAAGATCCGAAAGCACAACTAAGGCAAATACAGGGAAGTTTCTTGATTTCTTTTTTCCCAGCACATCTGCATCCTGAATGAGAATGGAAGAGAGAAGTACAAGAAGTGAGAGGGATGCAGGACCCAGACGGCTGCACAATCAACTGACACGCAGACCACTGTGAAGCTGCTTATTTTTTTATTTTAATGTTTGGCCTTTTTATGTTTTTCTATTTAACTCTTGACAGTTTCGTCACGGGGCCCCTCCTTTTGAGGAAAAAAATAGTTTTGCAAATATTTGATGTTCTGGATTTTTATTTGTGAATAACTTGAACAAAAATGTAAATCTGGAGTTGTTTCATGTACCTCAACAGCTGGAATATGATTAGACAAAATGAATGTTGCAAGGGGGAGTGAGGTTTCCTTAAGTAATAAGCCCAAACAAGACCCTGAGATACCAGGGCATTAGTGTAGTGAGCTACAAATTAGATTTGTTTTTATTTGTGTAAAAACAATTGATGTTTTTGGCCGACGTAAACTATCATCCATCGTTATCAGTTTGTATTGTTAATATAAAGGACAGGTGATCAACATAGTTTTAATTTGCACAAGGAATGTAAAGAAAAAAGGAATGTACAAATATTTATTTGTATGTTTAGTTTTGTTAAGAGCAAGATCATAATGGAATAATTTATTTCAGCAATAATAAACATGGAAATTGTTTCTGTGTTTCACAGTTTATTACTACAGTGTGAAATATTGACACATTACTCAGCATACTTAATAGTCTAGTAATGGGGAGAGGGGGAGTATATAAAATGAATTCATTCAACAACCTGCACAAAATGAGAGGATTACCTATATTTCTGAAATTTCTGATAAATAGGCAGGTTATCTCTGCTTGTGTTCCGGAGATCGAGGCTAGACTTGGGTGGTATTGTGGTAATACAGTATACCCCAGGAGCTTGGGTTTACCATGGTAGTTTGAAATCTTGACAACAAAATTATCCTGCTAACCATTTTTTTTGCCAAGATTACAAAATACCAGAACAACATTTCTTTTGAAAATACTCTATACTGAGGAATAATTTGTCATGTGTTGCGGTATGAAAATTACATACTGCACAAACCTAATCATAGCTTCATATTCTGTAGCCATTTTTCTGGAGCAAAATGGGATGTGTGAAAATTATTCAATTGACCCACAGGGATGAAGAAAATTCTCTTTTTCTATAACATAATCCTAAAAATATTTTGGAGATGCCGTCATTTCTATATAAGTAAAAGTACAATGCCACGCTAAAAGATATTGCAGGAGATTATTTTATTTCTAGTGAGACTTTTCGATAATACAAAAAAGTGTTATGTGTATGCTAATATTCATACCAAGGTTCATAACTTTTGGTCCATGAATATTTATCATCATTATACCTGTAACCAATATAAATCATAGATATTTAAATAACATTATTCTGAGAAGGGATCCATAACCTTCACTGGGGTCCATGGCACAATAATCTATTCTGATCTATTCTGCATGCTTGGATACTTAAAGTATACAGAATAAATTATTTTAGCGTTTAGAGAATGTAATTCCAACGTGAGACAATAGGGGGCGACCGAAAAAGATGTAATTCAGCTACCTAGTTTAAAGACCGCCCAGTGTTCTGGATGGAAACGTCATGTATGTGCGACAGGAATGAATTTTTTTCTAGGGCATGTCAATGGAGGAGGACAGCCTGTAGTCCACTCTTATGTCTGTTTGACATTTAAGCCCTAAAAATATATACTAAGATCACCATGATTGCACTTACTAGATTTCTTCGCAGAAAACAGGTACGTGTGTAGGTAATGTAGCGTAACAATTTTTTTGTATAACCAATAAGCGATCGAGAAGATTTGTCATTAACTTTAGTTTACTAGTTCTGTAACTGTCCTCTAAACTTTAGATTCATGTAACGTACGGTTTATTACTCACACGACATTTTAAACAGACTGTGCAATTTCGTTTCTTGTCTTAACATTTTATTGCGTCAGTGTCTGTCACAGGTTGCCTTAGTCGCCGGTCAAACGCATAGGGCTCTATCGTCTCAGACGGAGGGAGAAATCAGAATTGCGAAAATACTTCAAGATAAATTTCCGCAGGCAGCCTCACTGAAGGTGCATGACATTTCAGGTGAGTATAAGCGACCGGTTAATTTTCCGAGTGACGTCGGAAGCGATAATGCAGTAAGACTTGCAGAAGACAGCAAACGTGTATGTGTATTATTGCGCCACTGTACAATATTGCAAACAGGACAACATTTAAATGAGAGTTTTTTTTGTGATTTCTAGGTGGATGTGGTGCCATGTATGAAATACACATTGAATCGGAGGAATTCAAGGGCAAACGAACAGTTCAGCAACATCGGCTAGTGAACCAGGTGATTTAATAATACCTTTGACTGACATCCGGTCCAGGCTGGTCCCTGCTTACCACGATCCTGCTTTGGAAAAGTCCATGGATGGGTGGATAGATAAAAGGTTCCCATTTTATTTGAGGACACCTGTGATATGCTATTTTTTTTAAGTGTTTCTTCATATCACTTATAACTGTCACAAAATAAATCAAATGATACCATCAGTCTTAAATTCTACACCCTCAGATAGAACTGTGTATGCAAAGCTTTGCTGCTTTTCATTCTGCACAGTACTGAAGTTTATTTTCCCTTAACAGGCGCTTAAAGATGAGATCAAAACCATGCATGGCCTACGAATATTTACAGATGTTCCCAAGAATTAGAAGCAAGAAGTCTGAGGTCATTATCTAATTACTCACATGACCATTATCAGAAAACCTCAGATGGAAGTTGATGTAGCATAACAAACTGCATTTTGCAGACAGAACGCACATAAAGCTAATATGCAAAGGTTTGTATTCCTCAGTAGTGGCATCTGAATTAATACCAATGTATCTAGTGAAGAAAAAAAAAATGACAGGGATATAAAAAGTATTGTGAAGGTAATGTGTTTGTCTACTTTTGGCAGCACATTTTCTTGCTGTTGTAAATGTTGCGCACAAATGCAGCTGGTGAGATTTTTGTTGTGTAAAGTTTACTCTGTGAAGAGTGACCTTAATTTTTGATACGCACAAAGTAAAGTTGTCTTGCTAGTTATATCATCTGTGATTAATGCAAGAAGGAGAGAGGAGGTTGATGGGTAGACACTATTTGAATAACACACTGGCATGCACAGACCTACCTGAATTTCACTTTTACTTTTGAACTTGGTACTTAATTGTTTTTTAAGTGCATTCGGTCTCACACACTTCACACTTGATGTACGCTGTACAATGTGTGCAACCCTGTACTTGTACGAGCCGTATCCGGTTGTATTTGCATACACAAAAAAGAAACTGAGGAGTGTTTGAGATGTATAGATAATCGGTAATGTGATTAAAGCCATCAACACAGAAGTGTAATTCACTCAAATTTTTGGTAAATGCAGTCTTTTTAAATTTGAAAACTTAAGGTATGTTATGAAGTTGTTGGCAGCCATGTCTGACCCTTCATAAGCAGTTAGAGGTTAAGGTATAAGATTAAATTAGATAGTGACTGACTGCCTAGACTTTCTAACCACAATATGCATCTTCTTCTCTTTTATTTTGTTGGATATTTTCACACGTGGTCTTTTATAAATGTCCAGGAAAGTTCGGTGTGGTTTCTTTTAAGTATTTGTTGTTTCTCAGGTTTCGGTAAGTTGATATTTTATATCGAACTTAACTCATTTTATAAATAATATTTTATTGATTAAATGCCAATGCACCCATTTTTTTTTATTTGCTAGTTTTAAAATATTCTCCATATATATAAGATACAAATTTATCAATGAAAGCATTTACAGCCGTATTGTAGAAACCCTTGCCTGGAAATAAAAGGAAAACTGAATTGATTTTAGAAAAGTATGTTCATTAGCCATAACTACAGATGAACAATGGAGTTGTATTGTATTTAATTATTTTCATTTGCTTTTTGGGGCACATGCATCCAAATAAAACTTTTTAGTTAACTTTTTTAAACAGCTGATATTTTGCTATGGGCTAGAAAAGCTAATAAAATCCATCATTCCCCATCTCAGGTTGTTTTGCACTCTCTACATACTTATGGGGATGCCACTTCCAAAAGATAACTGTCAATGTAGTCTGTGCAGAGTCATCCTATTGGGTGCAGCTCTGATTGTTCACTGTATCCATGGTAACTCCATGGAGCTCCACACTCATGTAAACACAGACCCTTCCAAATAGCTTCAGTCTGGGGTGAGCTTTGCACTGATGGCCTAGCCAGTTCAAAGAGTGGCACGTACAGTCAAAGCTCTTACCATATTACAGTTTTTTTTAAATGTTGCTTATTTCATGGAAAGAGTATCCCATTGATTTTAAGATTGATATTTAGATGGTTTAGATGTGACGGTTCTCTGTTTCCCCTGCCTCATACCCTGTTTCTTGGTACGGTCCACATGTCACTTTAATACATGAATTGATAAAGCAGTATAAAATAATTCTAATACACTTTCTATAGTAAATGATATAATTATTACCTAGTGTTAAGGAACATAATTATATTATATGAACGATAATAAAATGAGCCGATTTTCTAACTTCGGAAGTTTATGCCATATTCTCACCAGCAGATGGAGGAAGTTTACAAGTAGTATTATAGAAATGCTTGTAGAAACTTCCTTAACATTTATGATCTTAATTCTTAATGACTTTTTATGCAGCCAGACCCATTGCTTTCATAATGCTTTCCTGATAAAAGAAAAAAAAGAGAAAAGAAAAATCATATAGATACCACAATTAATCGTATTGCTTAAATTATTTTAAGTAATAGTCATAAAAACATGAGCGAATATAAAAACGTTATGAATTACTTGCTAAAACTACGAAATTCTGATTTTCTGCAAATTTCTATCTGAATAAGTGTCATTTTGGTCAGGATTGTCATTACTAAAGCCCTTAAGCCAGTGTTTCTTCTTTCTGGTCATAGCGATCCATTGTCATACACACTGGTGGTGATCTCTCATTCAGTCATGCTCAATTGACATATTAATTTAATTCGCCACACAGTTTAAATGTACTGATGTACACTTCTTACGTTTGTAATGGCGGTAATCAATTTTCTTTCTTTCTTTCTTTCTTTCTTTCTTTACCTTTCTGCCTGTCTGTCTGTTTAATGGAATATAGTCTCATTGTTTAATCATTTCGGAGACTTATGGGGAAAAATCTGAAATTAATTTCTTATAAACTACAAATCATGCTATAATTAAAATAATGAATTCTTCTTTATTCCCTTGAAAGTGAAACATACAATTTCATTAAAAATGTACAGCAGGGCTTTAATATTAAACTATTCGGTTAATGTGATTTTAATTGTGCAATTCAATACCACATCTAAACAAGCCTAATTAATAGTAGTATTGAAGAACTGCTTTATGCCATACCTCTACCTCGATTCAACGTACGCTTGCTCATAAAAGCCTGTTTATTTAGACCACCTCATCTGGTTATTTGATTGACCACACTTTATTAGAGCAATAGATATTATGTTTAAAATGTCACGAAATCCCATTCATGGAGAGGATCTTATTTTCATGAATTGACAGGTCTGACAGAGTGTACATTTGTTGGTTGTATGTTGCCTTTTTTTCTGGCGTCTCCATTAAGCTTTGAACTAGATTAACTGAAGGGTACTTTATCGGGCCACCTCTTTTATAATTCAGATGGATTTGACCTCTTCTTTCTGCAAAGCTCCAGTTTAACATAGATATCTGAAACCCATTAAAGCATAAAAATTTGTTTTGCACCTATATTCTGAGGCTGTGGGCCAACATCGACGATGCGCTTGGAGCCTCTGTTTATTTACCTGTCCCAGTAACCATGGAAACTTCCCTATCTGGCGAATACTCGTATTATAGCTATCAGCATATATAGTACATTGAAACTACTACGGTGAAGCTGTGAGTTTAACTGCATTATTGCTTTATTGTTGTCATTGGTGCATAGCAAAATTATTTTTATTTTTTAAATACTTCGTGCAGAACGTAGTGGCAAATACATACAAAACAATAAATTCAACGCGTAGCCTACACAAGCAAGCAGTGTTATAATGAAGGCCATATGATTTTTTTTCAGTAACTCATACTACCAAAAGAAACTCTTACGCCATACATTCAACATTGATAGCCATTTAATACAGATAAGTTAATACTTAATAATATCTAGCAATTTAAGACAGATAAGCTATGTTCACACTATGTTCACACTATTTACCCGATAGTCTATAACTATACTTGCAATCACCTGCAATTACGTTTAAAAACTTGCTCAAGGCATTTAATAAGCATTTACATGCTAATGCAAAATGATTTACTTGTGTTTCGTTTCGACAATCGAGAAATGGGAATATATTAGTTTGTTTCCAATCAGAAGTTATCTGTAAAAAATCCAGTTGCTTGTAATTTTCGACTTGAAAAACACAAGTTTTGCAGGCAGCAGTTAGAATAGGCTAGCAACAGTACGCTTTTGACGTCTTTCTATCTCAGTTAAACGCGGATAATATTAAGTTAGTATTTCTCTTTCTTCCGCTTTATTGAGTTCCACTAATTCCGATGGGGCCCTGTTCACATCGGCGTTTCGCTTACCGCACCTGACAGGTAATTCCTGTGTTTCTTGTCTTTGATATTAGCTCCGTTTTTCTTTAATTTATTTGAATTTGGGTTACTTTTGTCACTATAGCGCTTATCATCGTGATGCTTTATAATGCTTAATATTAAGTATTTTTTATCGATATACTGTATATCGTTATGATTCTGTGGGGGTGTCACGGGATTTGTATCAGTATTTAAATATATCTGCACACTTATGGTAAGTTTTACGGTAAGTGTGAGCCGTCTGATCGGCCATCCTCCGCCGCTGTGCTACTTAGGGGAGTAACCTGCCGCGAGCCCAGACTAACTGACGCGGGGAGGAGAGAAGAGGCGCCGCCAGCCGCTCAGCATCACCCCGCTGCCCCATGAAGCCTATAGATATGGCAAAGGAAGGAGCGGAGGTTTCAGAGGAGACGGAGCACATGATAGAGAAGAACGGCGGGAAAGAGCCAGAAAGTGTCATGCCGGGTGGGGACGCGAAGGAGATGCGCGCCGTCGTGCTGACTGGCTTCGGGGGTCTCAACAAACTCCGGGTGACCAAGAAAGCCATGCCTGAACCCCAAGAAGGAGAAGTCAAGATTCGCGTCAAAGCATGGTAAATGTATGTCTTTGTGCATTTGCAGAAGTTGCTAGTTGCTTGGGCATATGCGCTCCGGCTGAGTGCGGCTTTGCACCGCTTTTGGTCGGTGGTTCTGGGCTGACCCGGCTCCCCTGGGGAATGACACACAGTCCCGGAGACGCAGCTTGTGTCCGGCATCGCTCCCACTTCAAACCGCCCCTGTCTCTTTCTGTATATATGTTTTTTTTACCGGCTGTGGTTTAACACTCAGTCTTGCAATTATGAAATTGTTTCATTCACATTCAGTAGGAGAATGAAACGTGAATCCGAGTAAAACTACTCTGGTTTTGGTTGAACTGGTCACAGTAATACAAATATTAATTTATTTCATTGTAAATGTTCGAGATAGAATCGGGTATGAGTTATGTCTGACAGACGACGTTGCTGTGATTGATATATCATGCCACAGGTCCTCTAACGCTCTGCATTATATGTTTTATATCCCCTATATCTGTAGTGAATTAAAAGCAATATTTTACTCGCCGTGATTTGCTTTTAATATGAAAACTAAATGATTTTTTTCCAGGGTGTCGTGGATCCAGCTTCGCAATGAAACTTGATCTGTATAGGAATTTATGCGTGAGCCATTTTTAAGTATTGATCTTCGCCTTACGGAAAGGGTGCATAAGCACGGTTATATCTAATGATAAATGCGGTAACCTGTAGCATCGCACTTGTTGAAAAGCGTGTTAGATTCTGATCGTTTTTTGACGAGGATGGTGGGAGTTTTTGAGGGGCACTCTCTAGTTAAAATCATGGTCTTGAAGCTCTGAGGGACTGGTTTGAATGATACAGTTTATACCATATACTGATCTTTAGTGTGAACATAGATTGCGTCTGTGATCTAACTGGCTGCGACAAGAACCGAGCCACCAAGCGTCTCTCAAATATTTTAGTGTGGGTGGACCCTGGTTGCATATAATAATACTACTATATCGCTTTGGTATGTTGTTTCCCCTTCGTTTATAACAATACTTCGTTCAGAATAATTATCTCTCGCACTGTGCTAAGTAGGATCTTTTGCTTGTTAATTGTTTTGTGTATCCGTTGTCAAATTACAGCTCAGTGTCTAAGGTGATTCAAGGGTCCAGTAACATGAATTTATTATAGAGAGTGAGATCACTTATGCATATTTAATCTCACATTGTCAGCTTGAAGGACAATATATTTTGGATATTTTACATACCCTTTTGTCAGGAATGTTTGTGAAAATTGTCCCCTCTTAGCTGGTTTATGCTGTTATGGTTTTAATGCCATAACAGGCAGTTATGGTGGAACGAATCAGACAATGAATAACAGTTGATTGAAATGAACTGGTGCTATGCATGCACTGCCCTTCATATATGTGTGCTTTTAATAGCTCTTGTTAAGAGCCTCTTTGCTATGGCTGAAATAATAATTTCACTTTTTTTTCAGTGGTTTAAACTTCCTAGACTTAATGGTGAGACAAGGAAACATTGACAACCCTCCTAAAACTCCTCTCATCCCTGGATTTGAATGTTCTGGAATTGTGGAAGCAATGGGAGGGAACACCAAAGGGTTTGAGGTCAGTGTGTCCGTAAATGCTTCTCCTGCGGTAGACTGCACGCTTCCGGGACACAACACATATGCTGCTAACTCTCTTGTCCAGGAAATAATTTAGATGGACAAACTTGGTGGTTGCAGGTTTGGATCCGGCCCAGTGTCTGTGTAGTTGGAGTCTTTTCATCCTTCAATTGGTTTCCTTTGTGAAATTTGGTCCCACATTCCCAGGGAATCTGCGATTCTAAATTTTCCTTATCTAGTGAATTTAGTTTTTTTTTTTTTTACATCTGATAAACTAGAATCTCATCTATGAGTATACTACCTTAGAACACAAGTTTTTCGTAGACACCTGATGATTATGACATTGCTTAAAAATAAGCCGTTGCTTAAAATGGACAGATGTTACATACACTTAAAAGTGTGTTTTTCTTCCAATAGTAGCCCTATTCCTTTTATGAACTTGTAGTACTGTGTCTCTTATTGAGTTAATTGTGGCCTTTTGAATGACAAATTAACTGTAATTAAGAGGGATGCCAATGCTCTTAGTATATCTGGATGAAACCACAAAAGCAAAATACTGAAATCAAAATTGCAGGCATATCACAAAAATAAATGTAATATGACAACGGCGTGTTGGTTTACTTTTGAAATTGACCTGTTTATTACTTTTATAAGATTATACATTTCATTTTTGGTTGTGTTAACTGCTATGAAATATCTGTGACAGAGTAGCATGTGGTGAAGCCAAATTAATATTGCTTACAAAAGAAGCATGACTGAAATGTTGAGTGATTTGTATTCTGAAAAGGTTTTTGTTTTATTTCTCTTCCCTTTAATAATGGAAACATATCAACTCTGTTGCACCATTTTTTTCCACGTGGGAATTGATTTATGACAGTAAAGCTCATTAAGATTTCAGTTGAAGGACTGCACATTTTTTTCTAGATTAAAATTTCCAGTTTAAGTACTAAAGCAAGGCAGACAAACTGAGTCAATGCAGTGTCATTTAGTGTATTCAGTCTAAAAAGCATGTGATTTTGCTTTAGCTCCCCAATCAGCTACATTGACTAGTTTAATCTTTCCCATGGGGAAAGTTTGTATTAACTTTATAGTACATTGCAGGACACTGAAAGTTACACTTTAAAAAACAAATTCCTGGTTGTTGTGAGACAAAACCGCACAGAATTGCTTTGTATTAAAATTAGCTTTGGAATTCAGTGATTTGTTTTGTAAGGGAAAATTCTGGAGCTGTCGTTGAATGCGCAAGATTTTTACTCAGTAAGGTCTTTTGTACAAAAATTAATAGCTGAGGCAGGAAGTCAAAAAATATCTGGAACTCTTCTTCCGACATGTCACACACTGAATCAGCACATAATGATTCCCTTTACATCAGCACTGCTTTAATAAAGATCACAACCTATAACCTTTTGCAGATTGAGAGGGATAGAAAGCATCTGTGTGGACCTTAAATCACCCCGTTCCAGCACATGCTCTGTGAATTGGATTGCCTGTGACATGTGGCAGAATGCTGCATCATGGGATATGGATTATTTCTCAGGAGAGTAACATTCTACTTTGTACACAAAGCAGAATGCTGTCATACCCAAGAAAAATACGATACATTCTAGCTAAGCACTCTGGGACGTGGAGTTACATGGGCTGATGCCACATGTGTGTTTGTCCATTAATCAGCAATGTTGTGAGAGATCACTTGTCATACTGTATAACGTTCCTCCATTACTCAGAAGAACCGCGTTTGTGTTAGGTGTTTATGATCCAGGTGGTTTTTCGTACTAATTTCCTGTGCTTCTGACTGCTGCTTCCTAACAGCACCTGATTAAGCCTTTACTTTTGCTGTTTGTTGCCAGTAATGCAGTAATGGCCACAATGTCCATCTGCTCTTCCACCCCTTCGTTCCAGATGTAACGCAGTAGCTCACACTCCTTGCCAGCCTGACTAAACTTCACATTTGAATCACTAGGGTCACCTAGTAGCACTCATGACATATTGTGGTATAGATATTTCCTTTTATAGAAACATACAATGCACACATGCCACATGTATACTTTTAAAATGCGACATCTTGTGGCAGAATTGTATGATTTGACCAGTAATACCTGATTTTAATTCATTCCCTGGTTTGTGAAGGTTTGTGATGTTTTTTGCTTAAAACATCGGCAAAGAAATTACAAAATGAAGCATTTTATCATGTCAAGTGTCCTATCACGGGTAGTTTTTCACAGTATTATGTACTATTTGATATAACATAGAAATTGCCTATTAGTCATTTTGCAGGTGCTGATACAAATTGTAGTTAAACCTGACTACAGGTTTATTGTAGTTGTATATGTCAGGGTGATGAAATGCAGGCCCTGCTGACCTTCCTGTGGCGTCATTTATTACACGATAATCCTGAAGATGGACCAACGGTCCATGCAGAAACAAGCCAAGCAACCTTGAATTGTGTATCGTAAGCAACAATGTTGGGCCATTTCTGGCATTCTCTGCAGATTTGAAATACTGACAGTTTTGAAAGCGGCCTCCGTTATTCTGATACCCTCACCTGGCTTCTAGTTTAGTTGTGGATCAATAAAAATGGGAAAGCCGTTCAAAGGTACTTGGAGCATGCAAAACGTTTGCCGTCTAACTTTATTGGGAAACAGTGGGTTTTATTAATCTACATCTTTGAGACTCTGCTGTAGCTCTGCACAACATTTTATTGTCAAACTAATGGAGTGTAGCCAGAATGTGACACCTGTCTGATGGCTACGACTGGCCGTGCTCCCTTCTTCTGTGGGGTAATCTCATCCTTTCTTCCAGATAGGGGACCGTGTAATGGCCTTTGTGAACTACAACGCCTGGGCAGAAGTGGTGTGCACGCCGTTGGAGTTTGTCTATAAAATTCCCGACGAAATGACTTTTCCTGAGGCAGCTGCCTTCCCCATGAACTTTGTGGCTGCGTACATGATGCTGTTCGAGGTGGCCAATCTCCACGAAGGGATGTCTGTATTGGTTCACTCTGCTGGAGGGGGCGTGGTAAGTCATGCTTTTTTTTTTTATAAAAAAAAGAGAAATGTTACTGTATTAATATAGTTCATATACTTTATGTTATTGAATATTCCCTGGGATGGAGTGGCATCCTGCCCAGAGTGTCTCCTACCCTTCGCCTTATACTGCCTGGGGTAGACTCTAGGCTCACCACAGCCAAGTGCTGGATCAACAATTATGGATGATGAATGGATGGATGGTTTGCTGGAAATTTTAATTTCATACACGTATTTTCCATCCATATGGCATGGTGACTCAGCATGTAGCACTGTTGCCTCATACCTCCTGGGTTTGGGGTTAGAATCCTACCTCCGCTTTTTGTGTGTGGTGTTTGCATGTTCTCCTAGTGTCACTGGTTTCCTCCCAAGGTCCAAAAACGCACAGTTAGACTAACTGGCATCTCTGAATTGCCTGTGTATTCGCCATGTGATGGCATCTGTTCAGGGTGTACCGCGGCCTTGTGACCTGTGCTCCCTGAGACAGCTTACAGGCTTCCTCGTGGCCCTGATCAGGAGAAGTGGCTGGAGAATGAATAGATGGACTTCCTGTACACATAATGTGTTACGCAACGCTTTTGTGGGGCTTTACAGTAAAATGACCTGAAGCAGAATCATTGTGAAGGATGCATCTCTGCACAGAGGGCATGCAAGGCCAAATTTGTTAGTCTTCTGCAGCACCTGGGTAAAGCTGAAGAACACCGATGAGACCTATTCATCTTGATAATTGATCGTGAGAAAGAGGGGGTAGGGGTAGGGTTAGGCTGTTGTGTACCTCAGTGGGGTGGCTCAGGGTTGATTCTCTCCATCTGCTCCTTCATTCTTGATCTCTGTTTATATTAATAAGTAACCCATTTCTCCTGACAGTGAAGCTGCACTGGAGTCATTTTTCAGACCCAAAACCGTATTTTGAGCCCCTCAGGCCACTTTTGATTTCTCGCAACCCCTCTCAAAAGAATATGCTGATTTCCCTTTTGTCATATGGATCTGATCACCCATCAGGTCGAGCTTTCCATCATTGACTCCCTTAGCTAGAAGGTCTGAGATGGTCTGCATTGACTGTTGCTCTGAGAGCACCACGGTGACATGGAGGCTATGGAACGCTCATGGATTCTCATATCAGCTTCGTCGTGTATTCCAAGGACAACCGCCTGGACCTCCGGCTTTTCTGGACTCTGCTGGACGATGGCTTTTTCTCCAGAGCTGCGGTCTAGCGTGGCACAGCCCTGCCTGTGACTGCGGCTTCTGTGGATAATCTGATAAATGTAGCGGAACGCTTCGTAGAGCAGGCATATTTAGTCACAATTAAAATGAAGTGGTAGATCTGGGGACGTTATGGTTTGATTGTTGCAGTTGTGCTACCCCTACTGTGATCATATGGGTGTTATTAAGTCTCTGCCTCTATTTTCATTCTCATTCAGGGCAATGTCCTTGACTGGAGCAAAATTTAATAATGACACTATGATAGGTTGCACTTGCTCCAATATAATACAGACACTTTCTGAACATTCTCCCAATTCTTTCTTTCTGTTTTAGGGACAAGCTGTTGCCCAGCTCTGCTCCACCATACCAAACGTCACAGTTTTTGGAACCGCCTCCCCTTTCAAACATGAAGCCATCAAAGACTCGGTGACTCACCTTTTCGACAGAAACGCTGATTATGTGCAAGAGGTTAAAAAGTAAGAGATGCATCGAGAGCTGTCAGTTCCCACGTGCATATACCACTGGCCAAATGGTTGCTATGAGAGATGCATAGCTGTGTGTCGTTTGCTGCATGGAGTGAATCTATGGTGGACTTCAAACACTCACTTTTGGCTAAGTTCTTTCAAAAATGAATATTTCTGGTTAATCATATAACACTTTTGCTGACAATTATCTCTTATGGTGAAACACATTTGCTGGCATGCTGTAAGACAGTGTTTTCCAACCCAGTTTTTGGGGACCCCCAGACAGTACACATATTTGCTCCCTCTCAGCTGCCGGTAACTGTCGGGGGGTCCCCGAGGGCCAGATTGGGCAACACTGCTCTAAATCTTTACCACAATCTCCATAGTTATTAATGCTGGGATAAGCTGATTGTGGGTGATTTCAGTTATTCAGTGATGGTTCAGAAGTGAAGCACTATTGCCTCATGTCTCCAGGGTTTGGGGATGAAATTGTGCATCTGCTCTGTGTGTGGAGTTTGCACGTTCGGTGACACTGTCTGTCTATAAGAATTTCTAAACACATTCATCACACATTGTAATGCATTCATAAAGCATTATAGATAGATAGATTGATAGATTGGTAACACTTTACATTAACTGCGCCTTCATAATGCATTCACTATGCATTCATAGAATGTTCAGTGCACCTTCATAATGCATTCATAGAACATTCATAAGCAGCATGTAAGTACACCTTAACATCCTAAAATCCCTTAACAGCTTTAATATACATTAATAACAAACATTACATGATTATACAATTATGTTTGTTATTATATAATGTTTGTTATTAATGCATATTACAGCTGTTAAGGGATGTTAGGATGTTAAGGTATACATACATGATGTTTATGAATATTTTATTAATACTTAATGAATACATTATGAAGGTGCACTGAACGTTTTATGAATGCAATATAAAAGCATTATGAATGTGCACTTAATGTAAAGCGTTGCTGATAGATTTTTATGTGGGCATAACACAGTATAGCCATGCTTAGTATGCATTATGAATGCTTTATGAAGCCCTCATCTATAATGCGCTATAAATACCTTCATAATGCAGTACAAAGCAATGGAAGATGGTGTAATGCTTTATTAGTTCTTATAACCATTATAATGCATTATGAAGGTATCTATAATCCATTGTAGATGACAGCTTCAAGTGAAGTGTTGCCGTATGTACTTCCAGTGTCATGCAGTTTTTCCTCATGTAGTCTGTAAAATGCGTGAAAGCCTGATATCCCCCAGATAAAAGGTCAGAAGATATATGGATAACATCATTATGCTGATTTTTTTCTATTTATGTATGTATCTGTCTGTTTATCTATTGAAGTGTGCTTTACTTTTCTTCTTTTGATGGTTTTTTTTAAATACCTCTTCTGGTCTTCCCAGTGAAATTATATTGGTGTGAGGCAGGGCCCGAGAGAAGGGACGGACACACACACACATGTGCGGGAATGACGTACTGTCCGGCATTTGATCAGGCAATACACTTGTTAGCCATTGCCGTTTCTGGCCTTGTGTGCGGCTGGTTTCCATGGAGACCCGCAGCCTGGCTTTATGGGGGAGGAGTGCGGGAGGAGCAGCGCGGGGTTGGGTATCTGGATGAATCTCACGCGGCACATGGGGCCACAGCAGATGCGGGCTGAGCTGATTCATTCAGGGGAAGCACCTGTAGCTTTCTGCTCCCGGGCAGCTGACGCTGTTGCGCTGCTGCTGCTCTATCGCCGATTCCTGAGGATCTCTTTTGGCTGCAGCTTCATTTCCCCCTCCTCTTTTTGAGAAATAGGGCCAGGAGATTTAGCTTTTCTGTGATATTTCTTATCCATTAAGGTTACAATTCTTTTGTAGGGCTTTTGTGGGGTTTGGGTTGTGCCTGGGCAATTATGAGAACCATTCTAGTACCAGAATGAATCATTATTCAGGGTAAACAGTCTTTAAGAAGATATTATGGAATATAATCAAATCTCCAGTAAATCCAGTATTAAAATGGATCCCAGAAAAGGTTAACAGCCAGGTTGGGTATTTATTGTGCTTCTGTGCAAGGAGTATCTGGAAATAAGTATTCTGAGTTTGGACTTAAGATGACTCATTTCACCAAAGTCTGTGCTTAAACACATGAGGTGTAATGAATGTGTATGTGAAGGTCTGTAATAAAAACAGGCCTGCTCAGAACAAAAGGAGATTAATAAGGCTTCAGGGCCTCGCATTCCGGCGGGGATCATGTGTAGAGACAAATTAAAATGGTCTTAATTTGGACCTCGAACAGTAGGCCATGGCGTCAGCATCACGCGACCCGTTGAGCCGTTTTGCGGGAACTGTGGTGAAACACCACACAGGAGTGCATTTAGCAGGGCTGTTTGAACTGATATCGCTAAAGACAAAGCCCTGTTCTTAGCTATCAAACTCACAAGCTGGTCATAGCTCCTCAATAACACCGGATTCAAAGCTTACTATATTCCATGGAGTATAATAATAATCATTTCCCATTATAATGTTTGGGCTTCATTTGTGCAGCCAGTTATTAGATGACTTCAAAATGACAGTTGCCTGCAACAACAGGTTGATAGCTAAGCATTAGGCTTGCAGAAAATCGGAAACAAAAGATTTAACCTCAGTGACTTGCTGAGTTAACTAGTGTTTAGTGTGCAACGTTAGGAGGCTGTGCACCAGTTGCCACTGACTACCGCTGATGATGGGGGGGGGGGGGTACGGTGTATTCAGCTTCTGCTTGAACTGCATGTTATCTTAAAGTCTATTTATATCCAGCCGCTGCCATTTAGAGGAATTTCAAAGAGCATCGATCCATCATGTCTGTTTATGGACAATGCTCTGATCCACATACTGTTGGACTCATTAATTTCCATACAGATATCATTGACCTAGCTGTTTATTATTAATAGCTTGATCTTAGCATGTGCCCATATTAATGATTCAGAGGTAGATTTTTTCCCTCATGATATTCTGTAATGAAGACTGGACCTTTCAGTGAAAAATCAAAGCTTGAATATAGAGACGGAAATGATAAGCATAAAAGGGACTGTACCGAAAGCTAACATTATTGTCTTCTCGACATTTAGGGCAGGATTTTTTGGGTGCAGGAAAATATTTTTGGACACAATAATTTGTTCTGAATTATGCTATATCTGTGGTGTATTTTTCAAATCTGCTGACAGTTAGGTTACTCATATTGTCAGAAGTCCACTGTGTGTAATTGGGGGACGTCTATAAATGTGCTGTTATACTTAAAAACAGTTGCTAACATAATGTAAACTGGCAAAAGTGTTGGTTGATTATTTGGAGTATTTTGATGTCTGCACTTTAACGCAAGTTGCCGTCTCTCAGGAAATCTAACAGAAAGAATGCTAGTCGAGTCTACGCAGTCTGTCAGAGAAGAAAAAGGGCACGGTGTGGAAATTATTAATCAGGGTCCTCTTTGCCTAATGCGAATTTTAAATTGGAAAATGGCTGATTGGAGCCGGTCTCTAATAAGGTATACTAATTTACCGTGTCTCCAGAAATAAGTCAGGAGCTGAGAGACAACCTGCAGTGGAGGGGTCACAGGTCACTAATTGAATGTCCTGTATCCTGCAGGATCTCCCCCGATGGGGTGGACATTGTGCTGGACTGCTTGTGCGGAGAGAACACGGGCAAAGGCTTGGGTCTGCTTAAGCCCCTGGGAACATACATCCTGTACGGTGCGTTGACTCGTGCTGACTCATCCAGGAGGGCCTATTAGATGCAAACTGGAACAACGAGCTCCTGGTTGCACTCTAAGTGTGCTCTAAATAATTTACTTGGAGATGAAAGCCCAGAATGCCCTGGTTAAGAATGTCTACAAGTATAATTTTTGTTGGGTTGTAATTAACATTAAGCACTCACAAAGCTAGTGTTGAGAGGGAAAAAATGATTGGTTGTAAACTGTTAAAAAAAAAAGTGTTTGGTAAGGAGAATTGCAAATGAAAGAATCAGTTACATAGTTTAGAAAAGGTTCCTAATTGTGATGACCAGACAGGCCATCATGTGCTAGATTTCAGCAGATGGTCTGTCTTGAGGTGCCGGGAATTCAGTACCATGCATGCCGTGCTGCGGTAACAGCATTTCCAGCATTTCATTCGTCCTAATGGCCTGTGCCATGTCGCTCCCACAAGCCGGCAGCTTGTCTGACCAGAGCTTTTCGTCTCCAGGCTCGTCGAATATGGTGACGGGCGAGACGAAGAGTTTCTTCAGCTTTGCCAAGTCTGTAAGTAGAGTTTGAGTTAACGATGGCCAGTGTCTGCTGGACACTCGTTATGAGGACTCTAAGGGCATAATGGGCCTTAGTAACATTTCGAAGGATTCTGATGGCACTGAGTGTTGTTTAATCATAGTTATCTTAAAAGTGGCTGCCACCCCCCCTTGTCAAACCTGTGTCTTAAAGCATTTTGATGTTTCATTCTTTTTTTAGACACACTTTATATATCATTACTTTCATTAACATGTAGCAGATGTATAATTATGTGTTTGCCAGGTGCAATGATTAATTAGCCTTCGGTTACCGTGTCGCGGGTCTCGTCCGCAGTGGTGGCAGGTGGAGAAGGTGAACCCCATCAAACTTTACGAGGAGAACAAAGTCATCGCCGGCTTCTCGCTGCTCAATCTCCTCTTCAAACAAGGCCGGAGTGGCCTCGTGAAGACGGTCGTGCAGAAGCTGTTTTCCCTCTATGAGCAGAAGAAGGTCAAGCCCGTGGTGGACTCCCTGTGGGCTGTGGAAGAGGTAAGTGTGGTGGGGCCGCAGGATGGATGTGGCTTCACTGAAGCTCTCTCGCTGCTGTTCAAACTGCCCTCCAACTTGGGATGCAGGTGTCTTTATGTGTGCGAGTGGGCATGTAGAGTGGGTTGGCGTTGCTGTAGAGAATGCCGGCGTTGGCCTGCAGGGGGGAGCAGTCCGTTTGTGGTATAAGCCAGATCCCCTTGTGAAATGTTCACAGAATGCGCTGATGGTTGCTGGTACTTCTCCCTGTCCTCTTGTGCCTTTGGTGGTCTGTGTTTTTGTTTTGTTTTTTTGTTCGCCTTACTGCCTTCCAAAGGCGAAGGCGGTCTCTTGGCATCAAGCTCTCCCTTAGCTACACCGGCAGGTTCCTGCTGTTTCTTGTTGGTCATCACTTATGGGCAGAATGTGTCTGAGGCCATGCTGAAGGCCCTGTCTGTGCTGTTAGCCATAGTGTAAACCAGCCTTAACTCGGTGCACAGTGTCATGAGTTTTGAAGGAAATGGCAGTTTGTAGATACCTTCCTGTATTTCACAGACAGCTGAAAACTCTACAGTATGCATATATGCAGTTGTTGTATATTGTGGGGAAAAATGGAAAGCACTCTCTCTGATTTGCACTTGTTTTTATGTCAGTTTTACTAATTGCTTCTATTGTGATTAAGATTAATGCTTCAAAGCCAACCTGTACATGTTATTATGTACTTTGCATTTTCCATGCCTATGCGGTGATTAAAAATTTTGTGAGTTCATTTTCTGCTGATTTCTGCTCCGCTTGAATGCCCATTTGTAAAACTTTTCTTCCTCTGATGTTCCCATCCTTACTTGTTTACAGGCTGTTAAAAAAAAAAAAAACTCATGGAATGAAAACACTTTAGCATGTGGGCTCTGCAAACGGTGCTGTCCTCGGCTGGGCTTTCCTTATCCGTGGGAGCAGTTTTACGAAGGCTGTTTTCTGGGCAGAGTTGTTGCTGGGGCTGTGTCCCTTTGGAGGGTGTAAACTTAAGCAGAGTTTTAGGTTGACAGCCTGGTATTTGGTGACTGGGGCAGTACAGCCCGCACGGCACAGCTTCCAGGCTCCGTCTCGAGTGAGGTTTGTGCCGATTACCAGGCAGTGGGATCTTGTTGTGTAAATGTGAGATGTGCCATAGCCAGGCTGTTGCAGTTTAACTGCCTTCATTTGGCGTCTTGGACTGCTGTCTCGCCAGTTGGGTAATCTTGAAGAACGCAGCACTGAGCAAGAGCTGTTGACTTTCTAGTATTTCTTGATTTATTGCAAAAGGGTCAGTTCTCTAGGTTCACCAGCATGGATGCCTGCTTTGTCGCCATTTTGGTTGGTTGGTGAAGGAATTTGGGCAAGAATCTGATTGATTTTCCTCCCATTTGCATGGTAGCCATGGTTTCAACAGCTACATAGGATGGATGGTAGCCGTAAATGATTTAGCAAATATGAGTCGTCATGGAACAAGACAAGAATTGAGATGCTTAAAAAAATCCCTGTATCATTTTCAAATAGCATTTGCATAGTATGAGAAATGTCTGAACATCTATCCATTAAACAGACAAATTAATATTAGATCAAGGTTTCTCAACCCAGTCCTCGGGGACCACCAGACGGTCCACGTTTTTGCTCTCTCCCAATTGGCAGGGAATTGGGAGAGAGCAAAAACATGGACCGTCTGGTGGTCCCCGAGGACCGGGTTGAGAAACCCTGTATTAGATTATACTGATGACAGTTTCTTTCAAAGTCATCAAATTAAAAAATCCATGCATATACTTCATACAAAGTGGAAATTAATCTGTTTGCGTGACTAATCTCTAAATTGTAGTATTCTAAATTAAATATCGAAAATAATGTTTTACCGGGCCAAAGGACTGCATATGTGAAGACATTTTATTTTATTTTAATCCATTTTCCATTTTATTCCATTCAAAAGCAACCAAATATTCTGAGCGATGGGCCAGAACTTTAAAGAGCTAAACTTTTCCCCACCTGTCATGGGTGTAGTTTCACTGCTAGGAAACGATTCCGCAAGACAAGTTTATTAGACCCTTCAGAAAACCTTCAGAATCTGTTGTTTTAAAGTCCTTGATGGCGTTTGCAAAAGAGCAAAAGTCAACAGACCTGCCCTCTGTATGTAGCTGTAATCTTGCAGATTACAGCTACATACAGCTGCAGTCTTATGGTTATAGATTACTTTATCATCATATTTAAGAAGTATTGTTTAGTGTCTTCACTGGACAGTAAAAATGGCGTTGCCTCTGACCTCTTGAAGCTGGTCTGTCCTGCACCGTCACTCATCTTTCTGTATCATGGCAATGGGAACCGTTGTCACTCCCTTCATGGCGTCTGTGTCTGGACGTTCGTCAGTGTTTTTCTCCTGGGTGCCTGGTGCCTCTGCCTGCTCTCCGATGTGTCCGGGGCCCAGGCGTGACTTGAACCCAAGAGAACAGTGATTCTGTCATGAAGCCCAGCATCTTGCTGCCATTCACGCGGCCCAATTTGTCTCAGACTCCACCGACTGCCTCTTCCCCCTCCACCCCCACAGAGTCATTTGCTTTACGCAGTCGCTGATGATGGATGTTTCACAGCTTTTCAGTTTCTTTTTTAAGTCTAAAGTTTCAGCCGAAGCTGTCGCCTCACAGTAAACTTGGTCTTGTGTTAATGCCCATCTATCCGTCTTTCAACTGCTTATTCTGGTCTGGGTTACCTGGACTCTATCCCGGGCTACACCAGGCATAAGGCTATGGCTTTCTAGGCACAGATTGCCTAACTGCATGTCTTTGGACTGCAGGGGGAAGCTGGTATGGCACGAGGAAAACGTACCAACCCCGTGCACACATGCAGAGCGGGGGCAGGATTCCAGTCACTAACCGTGGAAGTGTGGGCAGCAGTGATATCCAATGAGTCATCATGCCACCCTTACATTAGTGTACTGATGTTAAATTGATTATTAGCCAGAGGGGTAGTGGAGGGGTTTGAGGCTATCACTGCCCAAAGTGTATGATAACCAAAGCTCTCTGTGTTACACAGGAAGAGCTGAGACAGGGGGTGATCTGCAGGAGAGGCACAAATCTCAGCCTTCCTCTAGGTAAGCTGAAAATGGCTGTGCAGAGGTTAAGTGTACTGATCAATAGGGATGGACCAATCCACGTCTTTTCAGTTCTGATCTGAATCTGATAGACAACTGCCGATATCAATACAGATTCCAATACAAGAGCTCTTTTTCCTTTCATATTTTTATATATATATATAATTCATATTTTTCAGCTAGTAAATACAGATAGAAAAATGTATGCCAAAAAATCTTAAATTAGGCTCTAGAAACATGCATAACATACTGTTCCACCTGGTTTGCATATTGTGTTTAAGTGTTTTTGAGGCACTTTGCAGTTCCATTTGAATATCTTCCAAGCGAGGATACAGTACGAGTGGTGAATGCTTAAACATCATTTATCTGCATTTATCATACTATCATTGCGATAGTAGCCCTCGTTTATCGCAAGTCGAGTGTGCAAAACAGACCAAGCTATCGACTCCCAAATCCATTGCTTTTTTTCATATTACTTGCTTTGTCTCACACAATTGTGTGCTCTTTGTTTTGTGGGATTTTCCACTAAACACTGCTTCCACCTCTGAAAACTTTGTTTTCACAAAGACTGCAAATCGCTGTGCTACCAGTTGTTGTTTAAAAACTTTAAATACTTCCTGGCCGTCACCCGTTTATCTGACGTTCTTATGCTCTTCACACTGTAAAGTGTATGCACATGACATCACAGCAGGCAGAAGTCACTGCACTTGCACCCACTGAGTGGCAAAAACTGAGTGGCAGCTTTTGCGTTCAGCTTCAATGACGCAAATAACACATCTAAAATGAGAAAGCTTTTGTGCGATTGATTGTACAAATAGATTTAACACAGAATAGGAGCTGCCTTTTTAGAAACTTACTAAATAAGTAAGTATTGGACGTAGATTGGTCATGTATGGCCAATATCAGATCTGTCAAATAGGTCTGGATCGGCGCCAATACCGAGCTGAATATTGGATCGGTGCATCTCTACTGATCAGCTTATGCTGCCTCATTGTTTGATATCTATGCAGGGAAACAGAGCAGCCATACGAGTCAGTGGTCCAAACAAGCAACTCTCTAATGCAGGGTTTCACCGAGTGTAGACACTGACACGTAATGGTTGGCCGAGCCTTGTGCTTGGAAAGATTGAGAATACTTGTTTGAAACGGTCTAGTGTTTGTTTTCTAAATATATGTATTAGGATTCAAGGATTCAAAAGCTTTATTGTCGTTTGTACAAGGGCAATGAAGTGCATGCCTGTATACCTACCTGCAGACTTTAACAGCATATATATCGATAAAGAACAATTAATAGCAAATACAGTAGAACCTTGGAACTCAAATGCCCCTTAACTCAGCCAACTTGGACATCCAACGGGTCTGTTTAATTTCTTTTACTTGAACCTCGACGGAGATCTTTGAAGGCCTGCTAAAACTTGTATGGATCGATACGCCTCTCTGATGGGCTGACACAAAGGAAAATGGACCTATTGGGATGCTGATGCCTATGAATTACAGAGTCTCATGGTACCTCTTGACCGAGTTTGACATGTGAAAGGGGTGTTCCTGCACTCACTGTGAAATTTTTTTGTGCTTTATCTACGGTACATTTAGTGACGCAGTAATCATGGCCCCTAAGATAGTGAGCAGTAATAGCAGCAAAATAAAGAGGAAAGTAGTGAGAGTAACTGTAGAACTTAAAAATTATAGCTACACTTGTAGGTGGTGCACGTCTGCTCTCGCTTCTGAGTATGGGATTGTCATTTATTTCATGTTTATTGCATTTTTGTATGTGTGCTTTTTCATGTGTGTATTAGTTTTATATTGATTGTTAATTCTTTTTATCATAGTTAGGTAGGTAGATAAGTTTAAATAGGCAATCATTTGGGGGTCTGTAACGGATTAAATTAATTTGTGTGATTTCTTACGGAGAAATTTGACTTGGACATCGACCAAATCGCAACTCGACCAGCCTTCTGGAACGAATCTGTGTTCCAAGGTACCACTGTAACTGAATATTTGGAGGGAAAATTCATGAGGGGCAGGGAACTAGTGAGCATAAAATGAACTATGCAGTATATGACTTGTACTGTAGCTCAGCCGTATTTTTCAGCCAGGGGTTCCGTGTGAACAGCACATCGAGGTTTGCCTGGGTTTGGAATGAAAAGGTTACGAGTCTCTAGAGCAGGGATGATTTTTTTCCATCTTTATGAAACTGAAGCAGTCAAATTAGAATTATAAATGTTGACTGTGACGATGAATGTCATAAAGAAGGTAAGGTAAAGGTCACCAGGCGCATCGCTGATTAAGTTTGTCTGGGCCTCTTGTTGGGTGGATGCCAGCGTTTCTTGACTGAAAAACAGAAGCGAAAGGCCCAAGATTGGGCACTGTGCACTTGAGCTGGGCAATATCTCAAATATTGTATACTATGTTTTAATAATAATATCTCCACAATTATTGGCACCCCCTTGTAAAGATTTGTAAAAAGGGTTAGAAAAAATCCACCTTTTGGTGAGACAGCTTCAGGTCACACTGAAAAATTGAGAAAAATCCAGCATTTCATTAACATAAATTTATTCCAAGAAAAACATCCTTCATCAAGAAATAATTATGTTTAAGAAAAATACATGTGCTACGATTATTTGCACCCCTGGAAACTGTAGTGAGCACAATATAACTGAAATATGTTTCCCCTGTAAATTGTACATCTTTGAGTTCAGTGGAGTGAAGAGGAACCTTCAAGCTGTAATCCATGACTTCCTGATTAACTGGGGTACAAACATGATGTGACACAGAGCCCAAATTCCCTTAGTCGTCCATCAACATGGGAAAGATAAGAGAACATACAAACCAAATGAAGGAGAAGTGTGTTGACCTTCATAAGTCAGGTAATGGGTATTAAAAAATAGCTACTGCCTTTTAAAATGCCCATTTCTACTGTTAGGGCTATAACTGGAACTGTTACAAACCTGCCTGAAAGAGGACTCAAGTTTATTTTTCCCCCACGTACAGTGAGGAGGATAATAAGAGAGGCAAAAAACCCACAAGGATGACTGTTGGTGAATTACAGGATCAAGTAAAATCTTAAGGTTACCACGTCTCTAAAAAACTATCAGACGCCCCTTTCATGCTAACAGATTATTTGGAAGGTATGCCAGGAAAGCTTTTTTGTGTCAGTTCACCACAAACGTAAGCACCTGGAGTTTACAAAACACTACAATAACTTTGACTGGAACCAAATTCAATGGTCTGATGAAACAAAAAATTTGAGCTTTTTGCCAATGAACATAAGGTGGGTTTGGCGTAAAAAGAAGGATGGCTATAATGAAATGAACCTTATCCCAAATGCAAAATATGGTGGAGGTTCTGTGATGTTGTGTGGCTGTTTTTCCTCCAAAGGCCCTGGAAACCTTGTTAAGGTACATGGCATTATGGACTCATGAAATAACAGGACATTTTAAATCAAAATTTGGCTACCTCTGCCGGGAAACAAAAACTGGGCCGTCATTGGATCTTCCAGCTGGACAGTGATCCTAAGCACATGTCAACACAATCAACACAAAAATGGTTAGCTGACTGCAGAATCAAGCTTCTGCCATGGCCATCTCAGTCCCCTAACCAGAACCCCATTGGAAACCTGTGGGTTGAACTGAAGAGAAGAGTGCACAAGAGATGGCCTAGGACCCTGGGTGATCTGGAGAGATTCTGTAAAGAGGAATGGGCTCCGATTCCCTGCTCTCCAACCTTATAAAATGTTATACGAGAAGACTCAATACTGTTATACTGGCAAAGGGAGGTTGTACAAAGTATTAAAAGCAGGGGTGCCATTAATCGTAGCACGTGTGTTTTTCTTGAAAATAATTATTTCTTGATGAAGATTTTGTTTTTCTTTCAATAAATTTATCTTAAGGAAAGGTTGGATTTTTCTCATTTTTTTCAGTGTGATATGAAACTACTTCACCAAAAGGTGGATTTTTACTAACCATTTTTACAAATCTTTAGAAGGGGTGTCGTAACCACAGGCGAGCAGGGATCGCGTAATCAGGACTGGGGAGATGGAGAGTCAGGAACGAGGGGTTTATTCAGCCAACGACAAGGCAAGACACAAAAAAGGTGTAGACTTCAATGACAAGACTGGGGAAACCATACTTGAATGCAGACTTAAATAGAGAGGACTTAAAGGAAATAACAAGAAACAGCTGGTGACATCGGGATTTCACACGAGGTTAATGAGGGGGCGTGGCACACAGGAGGATCGGACGAATAGGGCGTGACATGGGGTGCCAATAATTGTGTAGGGCGCTGTATAGTCATCCAACACATACACATGACATTGACATAAAATCGTGAAAACATCCGCCAAACAACTGGTGTCAAAACTTGCTGACTGGGGGGGGAGGGGCTGAATAGCGGTGCTGATTGACATTTTTTTAATGTCTGTGCAAAATGATCAGAATTAATTATGATTTTAAAACATATCACCCACCATCTAAAACCATCTAAGGCATTGGTTCATAAACTTACAGTGAGCCCTGGCTGTATACCGCCATTATAAATGATATTTACATACACAGATACTTTTGTACACCATGCAAAGAGTTTAAAAATAATACCAATGTGTTCATGTGTTTTTTTGTAACTACATTGAATGTGTTAGCTGGAAGGCTGGACTGAAAGCCAGCTCATAAATCTCTGTTGTCTTGCTTTGTGTGTAGCCAAAGCCTACTTCCCCCACAGAGGTGATAATCGCCATTTAGCCACTGTCGGATACCAATACCAGGTTACTTGTCTAACATTGTCCATTACCAATAATATTGTCACATCTACCACTGCAGCAGCTTGTCACTCCCTTTACTTTCACAGCCATTTTTATTGATTGAACGGGGGGATCAGGTTGAGTACTATACTTTAGTGTGTGACAGCCATAGTTAGTCCTTTTTGCTAAGAGGCTGGGGTCAGACTCTCTGATCCCATGATAGAATAAAATTGAGATGCTTTATTCAGCCTCAAGAAATTCTTTTT